TTAGCCTGATAGCTAGGTATCTAGGTACCATAGACACAGATTGAAAGTCTATTTCTATTACTCTGTAAACAATGACAGTCGAGACGAGAGGTCGTGTTTTTATTATCGTTGTGTCTAGTGTTGGTTGCTTTTACGGCAATTTAATTTTTATTTATATTAAGAAGAATGTGTGAGTAATAATATTACGATGTAGGTATCCTTCAGTATTCATTCTATTTCTATTCAGAGACCTTGTAATTCCCCTTATGCGCGTTATCAATACTTTCAATAAAAATTTTGCCGTAAATATTTATATTCCGCGCTACACGGCTTACTCTATTGTTACAGTAAATATAAAAGTGTTTTATCGGTATTCTGCAAGTCCAATGATTTGCACATTTTTTCAATTTCATATAATGCCTTGGATTGTTCATACGAATGAGCTAAAGATAGATTCCTTTTTGTTGAAAATAAACAAATTAATTATCGGCTGATATTTGTTGACTGTTCATTTGAAATCATAGGAGCAAATCTATCGCCTTCTCTCGACTTAATTTGATTTGGTATCTATGTTTTTATGCCAAGTAGAAATGACGGACAAAGTTTGTAATGTCGATCAGATTAGAACTTATGACCTTTAAGTTTAAGATGGGATTATAAACCACAAGGCGAGGGCGCTTTCTATATAATTAAAAGATGTAAATGAATGTACATTTCACTTGGGAAATTCCGAATAACAGCCCGAGGTGACCAAGTAGGCATCTACCTAAATGTTAATAAAACATAACTTGATTTGCTTACCTACTCGTGAAATTTATAGCAGCAATTTGTTTGAGGGGAGAAAACAGTTCTCAGATTTGTAATGCGCCCATTTTCTACGAAATTACGCTCAGAAATAAATATGAATGAAATTCACAGAAATTCCAAACATTTCTCTAAGAATAATAGTAGGTAGACATTTTGTATATTGTACCTATGTTATTTGACATGCGACATAGGTGTAGTATATGTGGGAAAGAGATGAAAGCATTGTCGTCTCTAGCGCAAACTACTGGCGTCATGCTGGCATTAAGCTGTGAACGTCGAGTGAGAACAGTTATGTTTGAGACCCGATAAATTAGGAAGTCAAATAGTACAGTATCTATGTATTATTATTTATATATGACTATTTGAATGGCAAAAGAACTTGGGGGGAAAGCGGTAACCTACTACTGTTTAAAAACAACGATATGCCCGTTAAAATAAGAACAGATTATCATATTATAGTCCTTTAGTTTTTATCTCTCTCTTTTGCTATGACAATACGGACCACCTCGATATGGGCGCGCACGTTTCCTAGTTGACCTTAATGATTAAAGAAAGAAGGCGAGAACGTCACCTGGACCCTGGCTCGTGTTGAGGAGCCCAGAAAACCTCTGTGAGCATTGAGGTACTTGACTGTCCCTTCTTACCTCACGCTTGCACACATAGTATTTTGCCTGTCGCTTATATAGGAAAAGCACAACGGACATCACGATATCATAACTCTGATACAATTTCATTCTTGAGGACTAAGATCTCATGTTTCTTATACTTTATCATTTTTAGTTCATTGTGATATGTAGATATAGAAATAATCTTTATTCAAATAAATACAAACACTTAGGAATAGTCATATTTTTTATTCTACCATTCATTCGAACGCAGGCTCATTAAATGAAGAATCAGCAAGAAATATGTGTATTGCTCTTTTGAATAGATGTTTTTTTATATAAATATTTGCACAATAAAAAGAGGCATGCGATAATCAACACAGAAACCGCTACGCACTCATTCTTAGTGCAATCAGATAATATTGTTAGCGCTATGAATTTTAATTTTGTTAATGTTGATTGAATGAATTTTAAACAGTTAAATTCTTTATTAGTTTTCTATAAGCGATTATTGTTCTGTTTTGTGTTGTAATAAATTTATTCTATATTATTGGATACTCTACATAGTGTCCCAGATTTGAATTTAAAAATGAATCAGTATTATTACTAACATGTACCTACAACATTTATTTGAAAAGAATACGAACTCATTTCGAAATTCGAAATCATTCCGAACTGACGGTAGTTTTGACATATAAGGTTTTATCAGGATTATAATAAATTACTTTGTATATAGATATTTTCCGGTTTAATGTTGTCTACTTAAGAATGTCATTATAATGTTCCGCCATATTGCCGCTGGTCTCATTTTTACTTCAATGCAATGAGGAAAATATTACGACGGTTTGCTGAAAAAAGCTATTACGTTGCTGTGTAGATACGTAGGTATAAAAGACACTTAAACGTAAGTTTATTTGAATTAACTAACGTTATATTCTATTCCAATTAGCTTTATAAAATTTATTTCTGTTGGACAGTGGGATACAACAGTTAAGTTACAAGGTGTAGTCAATATAAAAATAGATATATATGTGAAAAACGTATATTGAGATATGTCAACGTAATGTTTTTTTTTTATTAGGAGATTTGGGCTATTGTCAGGTGCTTGGACCTGTAGCACTGCGACCTACAAAGATCTATTATGCTCGCCCTTTTCAAAGTTCGCTACCTAGACCCATCAGGGACAAGAATTCAATGATATATAGACGAAGACTTATCACATAATGTAACGTAAGACAATAATTCAAGTATTTTTTATTGTATTGTCTGTGTATTTGTGCATTAATCTTAGAAACGGCTTAACCGATTTGGGAGTGGTTTCCATTTATGTACCGTGGTAAGTTTTGCTTTGATGTTTATTTTAATACAAACGATTTACAATTAAAATGTAATAAATAGACTATTGTTATTCCGAAGACCACGACGAAAACGTACGGGGCTGTGGGTTCAGCTAGTTAAATAAATAAACAAGCCCATACAGATTCTTAACTTTCCTCTTCAAAGCGATTTATAAGTAATATTTATAGTCTCTTGTTTCTTGCCAAAGCGTAGGACGAATCCTACGCAATAGATTCCATAAACTTTTATGAAATTAATATCTTATGAGGAAAATATAAAAAAAAAACCTTAGGGATCGTATCTATGGTATTTCTAGGCAAATACCAATACTAAATTACAGAAGACGAATTTAAAACTATTTCCAGGTAGCATGCACAATATTTTTGTATTTTCGCTTATAATAATGAAACTAAATAGTTTAAACTCATGCTTTTTAAAGCGTGAAGGTATTTAAATATTTACCTACTGACTAAAAATTACTGTCATTGATTATACCATAGGAGTACATATATATATATATATATATATATATCTTTATAATAATAATAATAATCTTTATTTGTCTCAAACATAAACTTTTTACACAATACAACTATTGCCCATAGAATAATATCATTTAAAAACTAATTAATGAGAGTTTTATTACGTTAATTGTTGTTAATTAGGTAATTACGTTGTTTGTCCGTGATGGACTCTTAAACTACTGAACCGATTGCAAATTCGATTTGCACATTGTGTGCAATTTGATCCAACTTGAAAGATAGGATAGCTTACATCTCAATTTATAGTCGCAATATCATCTCATTCAAGAACCTTAGCTACAGCAACGTGTGACCGGGTCTGCTAGTATACATTATATATACTCAACTGTCAGTTGTATATACCAGGCGAATTGCTATCATATAATAACAATTATATGATAGCAATTCCTATATATATATTTATTTATGAACGTAAGATTCGTACGTAACTTTTGACGACGACCTCGGTGTTCTAGCGGTTTAGCACACCGCCTTACTTCCGATGGTCGCAAGTTGGATTCCTCGCACGGCACAAACATTTATATTCATGAGATTGTCTGTATCGGTCTGGTTGTTTTCTATGTATGTATGTACCTATGTACGAAAAAAATATATATGTATGTATTTGTATCAGTTATCAACTATCCATGACACGAGCTTTAGCTAGCTTAATTTGAGTCTAAATGACGCTGAGATTATTATTAAAAAAACTCTTACTAATCCATAAATTATACGACGTTTCTATTTTCATACCTAAGCAGCTTAAATTCATTATTCTAAATGCGTAGCAATCCTACAGAACGTAGTATTAAAAATAATTTCAAAATCGTATAAGTATGTCATTTGGATATAAGGTTAATTATATAAGCCTGTAGACCACTCACGATTCAACCGGTCCTTGAGTCATGTGTGGACAATTGTCAATCTACGCGAGAGCAACGCAGACGTGCTAACGCGACGAACGCTGCGGCGCAACTGGCGTTCATCGTTCTCGGTATATTGGACGACGCTACCCCCGCCCCTCACCCCGTCCGCGCCGCCGCATAGAGATGTGCAAGTTGGCGTATTGGCGCCCAACGTGGGACAATAGTGGTTACAAATATTGGAATAACTACAAACTAGTTCTTAATAAAATAGTTAGCTCTGTCTGTGATATTATGTATATATTAGTCAAGAATAAAAATAAAATTAGCCAAAATATTAATAAAACTGTATATGATTCTCGAACTGGTCTGTATTGCATTCGCTGAACTAAAAGTTCTTGTGCGTAATTTCTAGATATTTGTCGTCGATACATTTTATGAATATTTTGTACAGGCAACGACTGTAGTAAAATTATGTATGTATCAGTCTTAAAGCTGAAACTAAGTAGGTTGGCATATGGTGGGGATCAGTGTTATCCTATATATAATTATAATATTCTCAGATTTTTCTAATGAATACTACTCCACTAAAACACTAAATAAAGTTTTATAAATAATAAAGAGGACTTAACTAAAACTATACAATATAAAAATGTATTTTAATATTTAAAACAGTTATAATACAAAAATATACTTAGGTACAATAAATAAGTATCATTTATCACATTCGTTATACATTAACACTTTTAAAAGTCACTTTTGTAAACACAAAAACATTCAGTCAAATTATATTTTTTGGAATAAATTATTTGGTATTAATTTGTCATCACCAATAATACATTATTAAAGAAAATAGAAATAAAAATATAACTAGGAAGAATATAACTAGTAGATTATATATTTGCAGTCAATAGAATATACTGAATGGTTGAAGTAAAGATTAATAATAAAAAAATCAGTAGAGCATATAACTAAAAAAAAATTAAAGCAACATGTTTTGTCATTACAGCCTTACAATAATATAAAATTTGAACATAAATTTGTACGTCCTTTAAAAATGCATACCATTGTACTTTTTTAAGGAATGTTCAAAGTTTTTCGACATTCACGTCTTTGATGTATTTATTAATAGATTAATACTTGCTTTTATATTATATTTGTAATTAAATAAAGATTACTATTTATTATAAAAAAAAAATATAAAGTCCTTAAATTACAAAATTTGTAAAAAAAAATCACACGCATTAGTAAAAAATAAAATAAAAAATCTTATGGACTCTGCACACATTTTTTCTATCAAAGTAGAAAATCCAAACAAATTAGAACTCTAAATATACGTAGACAAATGTTTAAAATTAATAAATATTGTATATTCGTATACATCTGTACAATAATTATTATGCATAACTGTGTAACTAATAACTAGCCGAGCTATCGTCAGACCAATTCGAACTGAAACAAAAACAATAAAATTAATTAAACAAACAAAATAAAATAAATAATGATGATGAAACTTAAAACATAACACATTTATGAAAAGTAATAAAATAATAATAAATGAAATAAACTTAGAAAGTAAAATACAATTAAAAAAAAATCTTTACAGGTACACTCATTCAGTCTCTTTAGATTTTATCACTATACAATACAGCCCATCTGATGGTAAATATGTACCGTAGTCTACGGACTCCTGAAACACCAGGGGTGTTACGTGCGCGTTGTCGACCCTTAAGAAACCTTAATATAAAGGTTTAATTACCTTAATATAGAGATAGATAGATATATCTATCTCTATGTTACGGTTTCTTAAGGGTCGGTCTTGAGAAACCACATGCTGTAGTCCCGGGAGAAAACCTCGGCAGGTAGTTCATTCCACGATCTAATAGTACGCCATTTCCACAATCTCTTTCCGATATTAGGTCAATCGTAAAAATACGATAACACCGTTAAAATCTCATTAATTTGCCAGTTTATCTGTTTTACGATAAAACTAAAGACTTTATTAACCTTGTATAAGCTGTTAGCTGTTAGAATATTGCAGAGTCTTAATTGTCAATGGAGAATTTACTCACACGAGATTTTATTTTTATCAACGAATTTACTTAGATTGGAAGAACTGATTGCATAATAAATAAATAAAAAAAGGTATTTTGTCTTTGATATTACGGTTATTAGACATTTTCAGATACTAAGTTTTATTTTTTATTTTGCTAAGTTTATCTATAATTTTGAATACGCATCCTATTTAAAGTTTAAAGTTCAGGTCGAAGGTAAGGCTAAAACTACTATGTTAGTGATTGGAGATGCAGAAATAATAAATAACTCTGTTGTGATGGGGTTCTTTTTTGTTGAGATGGTGAATTTACTAATAAATAATATATACGTTTACAGCAAAATATGTATTGTCTCTTTTTATAATATATTTACACAGATGTCAATCTATATTTTGTATTTTGACAACTAAGCTATTATAAAATCGTAATCGGTGAGGAGGCCGTATATACTCGTAACATCCTCCCACAGACATGAAGTGCTCTTCAGGTAGCCTACAGTAAATGAGCTTTGAATACATTAGAGTTTATCTTATTTTGCCCACTCTCTCTATCCCGTCCCACCAGGGGTACCATCTTTCCCACCAAGCGTACCACGTTTCCACCCAACCTCCCCTCCGCCAAGTAGGGTCCGGTGGCTTAAATTTCCAGCTGATATGCTTGTCTTGAACTAGACGAAATAGAATTACACTGCTCCATGGCAATATTATTAAACATCTCATATATCTATTTTCTTCTTGGCTTAGAATTAGTTTAGTTTTCATTCTTATCATACCCTTTTCATCTGTAAAAATAGTCTTGTTTTTCAATTTCTTAAACTCGTCATTCACTTGAAAATATTTTCTTTGTATAATCATTACTAATTTATTTTCCACTTCTTCATAATCATAGTACGTCAAAATTGTATCTAGTTTTTGTTCTTCCTTCTTTTGTTTATAGTCGTAACTAGTCTTTTCATACATCAAAGAATGTTTCCTTACGTCTTTTTCTATCTTTTTATCTCCCTCGTATTTCTTACTCATACCCGATGAAATATATTCCATTGTCGGTTCATTTACTTCTTTCATATAATCTATAAACCCTGACATGGCTAACTCGACTCTTTCAACTCTTTCTTTATTTATCGAGTCTCTACTGACACTCACATCGTGTGAATTCTTTAGAATTCTCGTACATTTATAATTATTCACACTCTGTTCATTGTCATCTCTACTTGAAGTTCTTGGACTTATATCCTGTCTCTCAGGTGATACGACTGGTAACTGAGAGGCAGGTTGATGTTTATTCTGCTGTTGTATTAGTTCTTGGTACATATTATCTAGGGTAATCCATTTAATCAAAAATTCATCGGCCGTTTCACAATCTGCGTAAAATTCATCTTCATTTGTTTCGTCGTCATTCACCCATTCATTGTAAATATCTTTATCTATTTTAAATAATTCATCTGCTTTACCTTTAAATATTGAATGACACACCTTTATTTCCGCAGTATTTAGTATGGGTTCCATTAATAATTCTGATAACTGGTTCCCAGTCTTTGTGAATAGTCGGCGTAAATTAGTTCTTGATTTTTTTAATCTCAACATTTTAGTACGAAGTCACGGTCGCCAGATGTTGTGATGGGGTTCTTTTTTGTTGAGATGGTGAATTTACTAATAAATAATATATACGTTTACAGCAGAATATGTATTGTCTCTTTTTATAATATATTTACACAGATGTCAATCTATATTTTGTATTTTGACAACTAAGCTATTATAAAATCGTAATCGGTGAGGAGGCCGTATATACTCGTAACAAACTCTGTTCTTAATCGACAGGCAACTAAACACTGATCGAAACTTGGAATGAAAATAAAAAAGATTTGTATATGTATTTTGTTTGTAATGTTTTCAAATAAAACTTGTAATTCTTTTATTCTTTGAACTATAGAAAGATACATTATCAATGACTGAAATCACTTTATTTAATAAAAATAGATAATTCTGCATTATGGAGGGATGTTCCTTGCGACTCAACATAATAATCAGTTTAAAAAATCTTTCTTTTATACAAAGCTATTTCGTCAGCGAGTAACACAGGCGTATACAATGATAACCGTGGAGACGTCAACAACACTAACCTGACCTGACATACGCGGGTCCTGGGGGCCCCGCATAGACTGTACTTCACGTGAACTATAAAAAAAATCCAAGCTTACCTGAGTTTAGTAGTCTTCCTGTAGGGTCTGGCGTTTCTATACACGTGGCCACCTTGTGAGACCAGCGTGCCGCGGGAGCTGGCCGGACTGATGGCGGTGTGCAGGGATTGGGGGGAGCCGGTGGAGCCTGATCTTCGTCGGCAGAACTCCTGCTCTTCGTTTGTCGGCGTCTTATCTCCTGCAGGAAAAGCATTTGTACTAATACATATACATGAATGTATGTATGTATGTATTGTTCTTCTTCCACTCATATCTCAGAAATATATTCAGTTGAGTTTCTTGGTAGTTCTTCTCAATTGAACCTGTATACTGAACTGTACGATAGGGGAAAAAGTATTAATATAAAAAACTTGACGTTCATAAGCTCCTGAAATGTCGTACATGATAAATATTTATTTTATTTTATTTGGCGTTAACAACTGAGGCTGCACTATGCCCGGGGTACGGAGCATATGGCCGAGGCCCGCAATCACCGCTGTAAGGGCCTCCGGATGACCAGAAGCCTATAGAAGTTTCAGTTCAAAATATCAGACTTTGACTTTAGGTGACATGTGATGACAACGGGTATAACATAAGTGAGTGGTGTGGTCACCGTCGAGGCTGCCGATGGGCGTGAGGCGGGCGAGGTCTGGACTGCTGCCCCACGGACTGAGCGCGCCCAGCGGACTCGACAGCCCCGCCGTCACCAGCGTGTCGTCTTCGTCCTCCCCATCGCACTCGTCCCCTGACTCTGTCGTCACAACCGACAACAATTATTTTTTAGCAAACAAGCATACGGCCCATCTGATGGTAAACGGTTACCATTGCCTATAGTATAAAATATATGAATCTTCTTGAAATTCCCCTTGTGTTCCGGGTGGTCATTTGCAGTTATCACTTAGCAACGGTGAGCCGTAAATTCGTTTGTTACTTATACTAAAAAAAATGTCCTCTCAATTGAATTGTTTTTTTTTCTTATTACACCGTGATTAAATCAATTTGAAATCAGCTTAGGCTCTTTGTCTTTCATATAAGAAGAAATATAACTAAAAAAAATCAAACACAGCGTAGAGTAGGATTTTTTTGTACAAATGTTAGCATTTTTCACCGGTTCAATATACTTATTTATAGTTATCTGTCTCATGCTATACTCAGTTGTTTTTTAACACACTCAGTTGTTTTTTTAAGAACAACACAGAAGTTTCTTGCTTATTCTTCTTGTGATGAATAAGCGGTAGAATAAAAAAAACTTGACTATACAAAAATGCTTATATTAAGTTTATTTGAATAAAGATTATTTCTATTTTATTCTATAACCTTACTCATTGCATTGATATATTGATTGAGGTAAATATTTACCGCTAAATACATCAAAGAAATTTTCTTTCGAATCATTTTGGGAGGACGTCGCCTTCTTTTTTCTTTTACTCTGTAACAAAATTTTACCTTTTAATCTTTTAATGATTGGCTATCAATCTTATCAGATGTGAGTTAAATGAAAATATTTATATGTGATTGTTTTTGACTGAATTAAAATAGGTTAGTATAAGGAACAATTCACTTGTTCCACTAACAAGGCGTATTTAATTCATACAATTTTGTTCGTTAGTTAATTAACCATAGTTAAACTAAGTTAACCTTAGTGAGCTCCTCGGCGACGGACATCTCGAGGGCATGGTGCGTTCGAGCGAGCGCTGCCAGGGCTTCTTCCAACACGCGGTTGCGTTCAATCTGTAACAATATCCATGTTTATTTATTTACCTGTATATTTTTATGTAATTGGAATATCAAATAAGCTGATGGTCGACTGGATGGTAAATATAGCATAGCATACCATGAACAGCACTACGAATATTATATAACGCCAGCGATACCACTTTTGCGTTGCAAGTTTGGATGACTAAATTGGATAGCTTCTTAACTTGTAATTACATTGCTTTAACTTACCCTTCAACCAAAATGCTAAAATACAGAGGACGAAGACAGAGACAGAGGTACCTGCGTAGACGACTCTCTATCTGGATTGAACTTTTCCATTCTAATTGGAAATATACTCCAACCAATATAAACAGTCATCTTTGTGGTATGGTATAACTAGTGATCATTAGAAACCTCCCTGCTCAGTCTGGCGGAGTCTGCGAAGATGGCTACATGTCGGAACCTGTAGGTGCGGTGTACAGACCGCCCTGCTGACTCTGGAGGAGTCTGCAAAGATGGCTACATGTCGGAACCTGTAGGTGCGGTGTACAGACCTCCCTGCTGAGTCTGGTGGAGTCTGCGGAGACGGCTACATGTCGGAACCTGTAGGTGCGGTATACAGACCGCCCTGCTCAGTCTGGCGGAGTCTGCGGAGATGGCTACATGTCGGAACCTGTAGGTGCGGTGTACAGACCGCCCTGATCAGTCTGGCGGAGTCTGCGAAGATGGCTACATGTCGGGACCTGCAGGTGCAGTGTACAGACCTCCCTGCTGAGTCTGGTGGAGTCTGCGGAGACGGCTACATGTCGGAACCTGTAGGTGCGGTGTACAGACATGTTGGGACCTGCAGGTGTGGTATACAGACCTCTCTGCTCAGTGTGGTGGAGTCTGCGGAGATAGCTACATGTCGAGACCTGCAGGAGCAGTGTACAGACCTCTCTGCTGAGTCTGGTGGAGTCTGCGGAGACAGCTACATGTCGGAACCTGTAGGTGCGGTGTACAGACCTCCCTGCTCAGTCTGGCGGAGTCTGCGGAGATAACTACATGTCGGGACCTGCAGGTGCGGTGTACAGACCTCCCTGCTCAGTGTGGTGGAGTCTGCGGAGATAGCGTATCTGCACACCTCTCTCCTGCTCAGTGTGGTGGAGTCTGCAGAGATAGCTACATGATCTGCGGACAGGCCTCCCTGCTCAGTGTGGTGGAGTCTGCAGAGATAGCTACAGATCTGCACCTCCCTGCTCAGTGTGGTGGAGTCTGCAGAGATAGCTACATGTCGGGATCTGCAGGTGCGGTATACAGGCCTCCCTGCTCAGTGTGGTGGAGTCTGCGGAGATAGCTACATGTCGGGATCTGCAGGTGCGGTATACAGGCCTCCCTGCTCAGTGTGGTGGAGTCTGCAGAGATAGCTACATGTCGGGATCTGCAGGTGCGGTATACAGACCTCCCTGCTCAGTGTGGTGGAGTCTGCGGACATAGCTACATGTCGGGATCTGCAGGTGCGGTATACAGACCTCCCTGCTCAGTGTGGTGGAGTCTGCGGACATAGCTACATGTCGGGATCTGCAGGTGCGGTATACAGACCTCCCTGCTCAGTGTGGTGGAGTCTGCAGAGATAGCTACATGTCGGGATCTGCAGGTGCGGTATACAGGCCTCCCTGCTCAGTGTGGTGGAGTCTGCAGAGATAGCTACATGTCGGGATCTGCAGGTGCGGTATACAGACCTCTCTGCTGAGTCTGGCAGAGTCAGCGTCGCGTGCCTGCGCCACGAGCGCGGCGCAGTGCCTCAGTGCTGACAGTGCTTCCGCGCCCGACCCGCACGCGTGCTGGAACCGCTGCAACCGACACGTTTCTTTATATACACATAGGCACACACCCTTCCAATTGATTCCTCGTCAAATTCAAACGGGGATCGAAATTCGACATACTGAACTGAGGTTCAAACCCCTAGCCGTGCCTTTAGACTAAAGTCGTTTCAGTCAGGAATAAGTTGACCTTCAACCGCTCTATAAGTCCTTCTGCGAATTTGGGGTGCCATCTGCACTCGGCTGCTATCGTTTAGTAAAGTTGTAAAGACCTATTGTGTTGCCCTCGGCAGGTTAGTTCGAAAATAAAATTGAGTATCTAGTAAGAAATATGAAGTCTAAATGTGTGAAATAAGGAGAATGCCCTTATAGTGGAGAAACTCTTTACTGAAATGGTTAAAGGCTCTCTCTCCCCGAACCAAGACCGGCAATACCAGCAATTCCAAGACAGCTTTGCAATTACAGTACGTACCATGTACGCGGAGTGGTGCAGAGAATTGCCAACATTAACACTCTTGTCCAGAGCGGCGACAATGGCGGAGCACTCGCGTAACTGTGTGTCCAATAATGCTAAGCTATTTGTAGCCGCTGTTAAAGCATCTTGCATTGATCCTACAAATAATTTTATATAATTATTAGATGACCCAGTTATACGATAAACCTACCTATCTTTATATATATCATTTTCAGTATGTGTTTTGTCATCTTGTTCTACCCCATTTTATGACGTTCTGCCCATTTTATTTTATTCTTTTATTATCATCAGTTCAGCCTTTGTCTATCTACTGTTGGATATAGGCCTTCTACCTTCCAATACCATCTCCACCGACTACCTTCGCGATCTTCCAGGTATCTCTTTTTGGTAATAAATGGTACCACCATCTACCAGGAACAATTTAGTCCATATTCTTCAAAAATGAAATGTTTAAATTGAACTTTAAAACGTCTAGATATTGTTTTTCTAAATTGTTTCAAACTAGCAGCACTATCCTATACCTACCTAAAGGCTTGCATTCATCTTCGAGGTCTTCGGTGGCTTCTCTCGCAGTGTCAGGCGATGCCCCCGCCCACAGATAATGTCCCGAGTATTCTATATGCTCGTTGAATGCCGTTATCCACGACTGAAATACAATATTAAAAACATATTCTTTGTTAATCAAATGAATAGTAATTTTAATTAAAATACTGCTGAATAACTAAATCGAGACCAAATCGTCTCGGATGGCAAGTGTAGGAACCTGGTGGTGCAGTCATTTACCTGGCTCGTGTGTATAGCGTGGCCAGCAGGCGGCATGGGCGCAGGGGGCGCTGGCAGCGTGGCCAGCAGGCGGCACACTCACCTGGCGGGCGGCGGCGGGCGCGGGGGGCGCGGGCAGCGTGGCCAGCAGGCGGCACACTCACCTGGCGGGCGGCGGCGGGCGCGGGGGCGCGGGCAGCGTGGCCAGCAGGCGGCACACTCACCTGGCGGGCGGCGGCGGGCGCGGGCAGCGTGGCCAGCAGGCGGCACACTCACCTGGCGGGCGGCGGCGGGCGCGGGCAGCGTGGCCAGCAGGCGGCACACTCACCTGGCGGGCGGCGGCGGGCGCGGGCAGCGTGGCCAGCAGGCGGCACACTCACCTGGCGGGCGGCGGCGGGCGCGGCGGGCGCGGGCAGCGTGGCCAGCAGGCGGCACACTCACCTGGCGGGCGGCGGCGGGCGCGGCGGGCGCGGGCAGCGTGGCCAGCAGGCGGCACACTCACCTGGCGGGCGGCGGCGGGCGCGGGCAGCGTGGCCAGCAGGCGGCACACTCACCTGGCGGGCGGCGGCGGGCGCGGGCAGCGTGGCCAGCAGGCGGCACACTCACCTGGCGGGCGGCGGCGGGCGCGGGGGCGCGGGCAGCGTGGCCAGCAGGCGGCACACTCACCTGGCGGGCGGCGGCGGGCGCGGGCAGCGTGGCCAGCAGGCGGCACACTCACCTGGCGGGCGGCGGCGGGCGCGGGCAGCGTGGCCAGCAGGCGGCACACTCACCTGGCGGGCGGCGGCGGGCGCGGGGGGCGCGGGCAGCGTGGCCAGCAGGCGGCACACTCACCTGGCGGGCGGCGGCGGGCGCGGGCAGCGTGGCCAGCAGGCGGCACACTCACCTGGCGGGCGGCGGCGGGCGCGGGGGGCGCGGGCAGCGTGGCCAGCAGGCGGCACACTCACCTGGCGGGCGGCGGCGGGCGCGGGGGCGCGGGCGCGGCCAGCAGGCGGCACACTCACCTGGCGGGCGGCGGCGGGCGCGGGCAGCGTGGCCAGCAGGCGGCACACTCACCTGGCGGGCGGCGGCGGGCGCGGGCCGCGTGGCCAGCAGGCGGCACACTCACCTGGCGGGCGGCGGCGGGCGCGGGCAGCGTGGCCAGCAGGCGGCACACTCACCTGGCGGGCGGCGGCGGGCGCGGGGGGCGCGGGCAGCGTGGCCAGCAGGCGGCACACTCACCTGGCGGGCGGCGGCGGGCGCGGGGGGCGCGGGCAGCGTGGCCAGCAGGCGGCACACTCACCTGGCGGGCGGCGGCGGGCGCGGGGGCGCGGGCAGCGTGGCCAGCAGGCGGCACACTCACCTGGCGGGCGGCGGCGGGCGCGGCGGGCGCGGGCAGCGTGGCCAGCAGGCGGCACACTCACCTGGCGGGCGGCGGCGGGCGCGGGCGCGCGGGCAGCGTGGCCAGCAGGCGGCACACTCACCTGGCGGGCGGCGGCGGGCGCGGGCCCGCGGGCAGCGTGGCCAGCAGGCGGCACACTCACCTGGCGGGCGGCGGCGGGCGCGGCGGGCGCGGGCAGCGTGGCCAGCAGGCGGCACACTCACCTGGCGGGCGGCGGCGGGCGCGGGGGGCGCGGGCAGCGTGGCCAGCAGGCGGCACACTCACCTGGCGGGCGGCGGCGGGCGCGGGGGGCGCGGGCAGCGTGGCCAGCAGGCGGCACACTCACCTGGCGGGCGGCGGCGGGCGCGGCGGGCGCGGGCAGCGTGGCCAGCAGGCGGCACACTCACCTGGCGGGCGGCGGCGGGCGCGGCGGGCGCGGGCAGCGTGGCCAGCAGGCGGCACACTCACCTGGCGGGCGGCGGCGGGCGCGGCGGGCGCGGGCAGCGTGGCCAGCAGGCGGCACACTCACCTGGCGGGCGGCGGCGGGCGCGGGGGGCGCGGGCAGCGTGGCCAGCAGGCGGCACACTCACCTGGCGGGCGGCGGCGGGCGCGGGGGACGCGGGCAGCGCGAGGCGGTGCGTGTCTCCGTCGCTGAGCCGCAGCAGTAGCAGCGCGCGCTCAGCTGCGGGCGCGTGCAGCGTGGCCCCGTCGAGGTAGCAGCGCGCGCGCCACCGCCCGTCCGCACGCGCCGCCTCCGCTCGCGACGCGTAGTACAGCAGTACGCCGCGCTGCAGCACCGCCTGCCACACCATATTCACTGCCTAATTTTTAACTAACGATCCGCTACGACTACGCCAGGTGAAGTGACTGCTCATAAATTTGTCAGTTTTATTTAACTGTCTAAAATATTTAATGCGATCACTCTCTATTGCTGATCGCGCGTGATTCTTTCACGCGCCATTTCACTAGCGATCGATCGTGTCGTGTAAAGGATCTCGCATAGCCGTCTTTGAATCTGCGGCTATGACTAATGTTATAGATATCCGAAAGCTGCCAACCCAGCGTGGTTATCATACCTATTTAGTTCAGTTTTTGTAAGTAAACAAATGACCAAAAGAAATTATATAGCTCACCCATACTGGTCTCCAGCCCAAGAACCTGGACTTCTTCAGCAGTGGCCCTTCGAACCTGGTCGCTGTTCTCTTCAACCGCTGCACTGGCCTCACGCTCAACACTTCCCGCATGTCATTATCTTTGGCCAGATCTATGGCCAGTTGACCTTATCCAAGATAATATAGCTTTTAAACATTTTTATTAAGTAAAATCCACAATTTATATTATGTTGCTATCGCTCTTAATTCGTTACTCAACCAGTTGGTTGTATATTTAATATTTTCTCTATTTAAGTATTTAATTGAATTCTTAAATAGAGAAAATATAAATCTTCAATTTAAAACTGTAAAGAAACTTACGTATTGCTCTTTTAAATAATTCAGTTAAATTATTTAAAAGAGCAACACGCAAGTTTCTTCTTCATTATTCTTGTGCTGAGATAGCTTTCCAAATGAGCAGTAGATTGAAAAAAAAATGTGATAAATATTCAAAAGTGCATCAATGTAAGTTTATTTGAATATATGATTTTCTATTCTTTTCATACACTTGCACTAACCACTATTATTTCTGAGCGTTGTATCAACGCCGTTCTGTAGCAGGAGAACTGCGAGCCTCGCGTGACCTCTGTATGCCGCGCAGTGGAGACATGTATTCCCTTGAGCATCCGCACAGTTGATATTCGGGGGATATGGACTGCTCAGCTGGAAAAAATGTATGTTTAGATTTATACATTGTAAAACATTATATGGGACACAGTAACCTAGATACATCAAAATAATAATTGCATTTAATAATGTCTAGTAAGACAAATTCAATACTGTCTTACTAGACATTATATTTTCCTATTGTTATTTAGTATATAAGATCATTATTTCTATGTACCATATTGTCTAAACTGTGTCTCTCCATATATTTTCCTACAAAGTTGTATTGTTATTTAGACCCTATAGTTTGATGATAAGTCTATTTACACTATATTTTTATTCATATAAACATTCAACTTAAAGAAAAAAATATTTTCCACTTTCATCTGCTTACCAATTCTTGTATATCATCAATCTTGCCTTCTTTTGCAGCTGTGAGTAATCTCCTTTCCCTCTCTTGCCTTTCCACCCTCTGTGCTGCCTCGAGCAATCTCTGCACATCTCTTGTCTTGCACACATCACAAGCAGTTCTGCCCTCTCCATTCATAATATTCACATCAGCTTTGTGCTTGAGTAGGAGAATCACCAGCTCCTGTAGAAATAGGTTTTAATTGCAAATTATTTGTGGAAAATTATAAAGAACTATACCAGTAATTGTTGTATACCCTTCTATCAGTATGTATAATACTAAATTTATTATATTGAATATCTTTAGTTGCACCAATATAAAAATAAACTATATGAAATGCTGAAATAACTCTCTTATTATTGACATCATTATAATGTTAGTACTGTACTTATAGTTTTTTTTATTGTTATTAGTATATATTATCACATTTTTATTTCAATTTTAAAATTTGTAGTTAGTATTTTACTCCACTAGGCTCACTCTATGTTATTATCTAAAAAAGTTCTGCACTCAATGTCTATTGTAAAAACACATTTTTCTCTACTGTAGGGTGCTAAAACTCTTCTGCTAAATATGCAATTTTTTACTAAAGTAAGTAACTCTATATTATATTCAAATTATTGTTTGTTATTACTATAGTTAGTTATTATTATTGTTTTATTTAAACAGCTGACTCTTTCACTTATCTACAATAGTTGTTATGTAAATGTGCTTAAATTATATTTATATTTATTAAAATAACCATTATTTATATTGAATAGGTACTTAACCTCATTTCCAATAAAGGATGCCTTATGCAGTGGAGTATCACCAGTTTCATTGACTTCATCCACATTGGCTCCAGCTTCCAATAAAGCTTCTACAACATCTACATGTCCAAAATATGTTGCTAGGTGTAGTGGTGTCCATCCCAAGTTACTCTTACTTTTACCTAAAAGCATACAATTGTTTTCTTCTTATGGCTTCGGAATACAATTGTTTTAAGCAACTTAAATGGTAGGAACCATGACCTATCAATTCTAATATTAGAAATGTTAAAGTATGTATAGTTGTCTAGTTGTCTGTTTGTTAATTATTCATGTGACTAACTTTGATAACAGAAATCATGATAATAAAAGCAGATCATGGGTAATAGCTAGTAAAATATGAACAGCATCCTGGACATCAAAAAGTATAACTCATATACTCTTAATGCATTTTTTTAATGATTCCAATGGACTGGTGCACCTATCTGCATCTGTCTAAGCTGACAGAGCACCAATGAAGTATGGTAGCATCAACATGAAGTCACTTCATTTTAACTATTGTGGTGTCATTTGATTACAATGGTTTCCAGGGTTTCCACAATGGTTACAATGGTTTCCTGTTGGAGGTGGATCGGACATGGTATATCACCAGCAATTAGGCTATCTTCATTATTAACCATACTCCACCCCTATCCCTTAATGCATTGCCATTCCTATGACTAAGTTGCTATGCTACCACTCACTCATCAGACCAGTACACCGTTTATAAAAGGAAAAATGATGGCTTAAAATTAAAACGTAATTTATATAAACCACAATTCATATTTAGATGCATAACAACGCCCTTCTATTTATAGACTTTAAATTTACTTCGTTTTATCTTAGGTCACAAGTTTTTACACCATCCAAGATTATATAAAATTTGTAAAATACTAATTTAGACATACTCGTCGCAAGTTTATTCCCTACAGCCTAGGGGTTTTTAAAATATTCAGTATTTCGGTTATAAAAAGCAACGCCTTTTCGTGCAAAACATGAAAATACATTCTTACCTTTGCAATTGATATTTAAAGTTAGCTTTCCGTCCGATGATGCTTGTAATAAGGCTTTCACAACCGATAGCTCTCCGTGTCTCGCTGAATACAGCAGAGATTCCTGAGCTTCCATACCAGGAAGATCTTCTTGAGACATTTTAGAAGCAATATTTATATGTGCATTTAACACAAACTCACAACACGCGTAATACGGTCTTGCTCCAAAACCTTTCAAATGTATATTTTAACTTGAAATTTTACGAACTATTTTCCTCCTTGATCTATATGCATTGTTTATTTATTTTTTTAGTATACAATATTATCACTTCCATAATATTTATTTATCACCACAGACTACTTAGATTAGAGAACTACGTTCTTATCACTGGCTATAACATCAGTCAACTGTCATTTTTTCTTCATTCACAAAATATATTGCACATTAGTCAAGTGCTGATTCAAAACAGAAGTAATTATATAATCATATTTATCATCTAAGCTCTATTCATGATAAGATAAAAGACAGAAATAAGTAACCAAATAAAAGTTCAAAAATTGGTTTTAACCTGTAAGCAATCTTTTCTCATTCACTACAAACTGTATTTTATAAGTTATAAAACGTGACAAATATAATTTTAATTACTTTAATCAATTTTCTTAGTTCTTGATTTTAGCCTACTGATGACACTTAATTATTTGGAAGTCAATGTCTTGTCGACAATTTGATATGGAATTAACAGCATCAGTCAGCCGTCAATCAAGTCATATGTTTTATTTTTTGTTTATGTTTACATTGAAGTTTAATTTGAAAATTTTTAGACTATATATTTGAAATATATCCTAATTGTTAGAATTATTTAAATCAATTGTGCTATGCTTACTAGCTATTATAATTTTTTCTAGTTTCATCACTGTAACCTATTTATTTAAACTCTCAAAAATGGATGACGATATACAAAACTGTTGCAGAATATGTCTAGACGTTGAATCCGACCATGTACCCGTACTGGGAGATCCTACAATCCACTTGCATATGAAATCGTGCCTCGATATAACAATTTCTCAAAGCGATGAACTTCCTAAAGTTATTTGCCGGCGTTGTGAGTCTCAACTGAGCGATTTTTATAATTTCCAACTGAACGCTCGCTGTTCCCAAGACTGGTTAGAATCTTCAATTCAGGAGAAATCGAAGAAGCCAACAGAAAAAACGCAGTTGCAGCCTCTCCCCGACTCGGAGTACAACTCCGATTCTCTTCTGGAGTTCTTGAACAATACGGCAAATATAGAGGAATATTTAAATAACCTAGGCAAAGAAGATATACCATCTATAGTACATTTACTCGATAGAAATGCAAGTGAACTGGACGTGACGAATAAATCTTTTAGTGGGAAATTAAAAAAAATAACTACACCAAAGAAAAAGGAGCTAAAATCGAATTGTGTGAAAATGGAAATAGATGTTCTAGATTCGGATATTGAAATTGTTAAGGAGATACTAATGAAGGAGACTGAACCGAAAAGCAAAACAAGGAGTACGGATAAAAGTCCTTTGGTATGTTTTGGTTGTAAAACTAAGTTCGACAATGCACATAGAGTCTCACAGCATGTCAGTACATGTGATACTGCATCCCGTACATGCATAAATTGTAATATGTTATTTGATTCGAGACAAAAAATGTTACAACATGCCATTGTACATAATACATCTCTTACATGCAACTGCGGGAAACAGTTTGCTAATAAAGAAAAGTTGTTGTTACATCATAAAACATGTCTAATTGATTACGGAGCTGTCATGGGCTGTGTGTACCGTTGTAAGCAGTGTGGGGAAACTTACAATGAACGATTTCAACTGTACAAACATGTGAAGGAACATGTGGTGAAATCGGAAGAGAGGAGTTGTGATGTATGCGGTCACAAGTTCAATGGTGATGAAGCATTATTGAAACATAAAAAGGAGGAACATAAAACTGGTGATTTATACAGGTAACTATAATAGTTATTGCACTGCATAGTTATCTATTAATATTTTTTTAATAGGTGGTTATGCATTGGTCTTGTTTGTGATAATGGTATATGCTGGTGTGGCCCCAGTGGAGGAAATAGAAATAGAAATAATCTTTATTCAAATGAACTTAATATATATAAGTATATAGCACTTTTGAATAGTCAAGTTTTTTTTATTCTACCGCTTATTCTGAATGCAGATTTATCACAAGAAGAAGAAGGATGATAAAATGAGCATAAGTTTAGGACAGTTGTAAGAAAGTCACTGTTCTTTAAATATAATAAGTAGTTTATAATACATGGTGTATATAATTAGAGTAAAAAGTGTAATATTTATAAAGAAAATAAAAAATAAAGGTACACATATAGAAATATGATATGGCCAAATAGATGTCGCCACAAAATAGAGACAAAAAAAAGCTGTAGTGATTTCCTGGGCAGACTATGTGGAGGTCGACCTTCCATGGTACTTTGATAGTGATGAGATAATTTCATTAACAATTTCCTATTGATATCTTCCTAAAACCTATTATTTAAGTTTCTTAAGTGTAATTTTTTTTTTATATTATATATTATGTACGTGTATATGGAGGGGAGCATAAGAACTTTAGAAAGACTAAGTCGGGTATTGACACTAAAAAGTTTGGGAAACACCGCTGTAGACTGTCAACAACTGATAGTTATGATGTAATAACATTAAAGTTCTTATTCCAGGTGTAAAGTATGCAATTTAACATCAGCTGATCGCAAAGAAATATACCTCCATGTTAAAAACCACATGACGCTCCCTGAGACCAGTCGACATCTATGCGAATCATGCGGTCGCAGTTTCGCAACGCGAAATACACTGGCACGTCACTCCATGCAGCATGCCAAGTTAAAACACTGCAAATGTAACATCTGTGGTGAAACATTCTGTGATATTAAATCTAGAGATCAACACTTGTCCGAACATGTTAATATTGTGATGTGTGACCGATGCGGGCAAAATGTTGACAGTGGTAAATTGGATTTACACAAATGTGTATAAGTGTATTTAATTTGAATATAACTTTTGAGTTGTTTGTCGAATTTAATTTTGAAATTATGTTAAATACCGTTACCCATATCATTAATTGGGATGGAATGGGAGGGGATAAAAAAAATCATCTCGTTTCAGTAGTATACGGCCCACTATCCCCTTGTACTCAATAAGTTACGTACAGCCTTTGTCGGGGCTGCTTTGAACCCGAAGAAACGGCCGCTCACGTAATCCTAAAGTGGGGAGCAGTAGCCACACAACGAACACAAATCATCCAATCCTTGCAACGATGAGGTCGCTCCGTAAAGCCTTTTAAGACACCAGGAGGCTGCGCTTCTGGGAAGAGCTTGGCTTGGCTCAACACGTATACCATTATATGTCAAACTAGCTCTACCCGCGCTTCATTCGCGTGGAATTTTACACACTTTATATTTCTAAAATAAAAAAAAATCTAAAATAAAATTCCTCCTTATTACATCAGCTATTTGCCAATAAAAGACTCGTCAAAATCGGTCCAGCCATTTCAGAGATTAGCAGGAACAAACAGACAGACAAACAAAATACCAAAATAACATTTTTTACAACAAAAATTGTAAAAAATGTTATTTTGTTATTTATATTCATATGCATGTAGTAAAAACCGGTTATTTCAATATTACCAACAGACACTCCAATGTTATTTATATGTGTAGACGTGAGGGTAAACAATACAATACAATATATAGGTACCAGTACATACATACAGTACAATACAATACCATTTATATACACCGTAACATACCACACAAGTTATGCTACAGGAGCTAATGTTTTAATTAAATAAAACACTATTAACCTAAAATAATTTATTATTAAAATTAAACCTAAATTCAATTACTAAAAAGCAAAATAGTATAAACTTTTATCTAATGCATTCTGACCATGTGAGTATAAAAATATTTAAAATACATATTAGTCAATTATCGTCTATTGGGCAAAGAGTTAAAATTATGAATTAGCTTTCCTTCATACAGCTTGATTTTTTTAATGTTTACTTATGTTCATTTTTGCACTAAAATATTTGTAACAATGTACGGGAATTTAAAAGTTTTTAAAAGTTTTTTTTAACACCTGGACCAACTACTAGTTCCGAGCTAAGCACAACTTGTGTTATGGGTATTAAACAACTGATATGAATACATAAATGTATTTTCTTGTAGGTATAAACATACATAATATACATAGAAAACACCTAAACCGATAGAAACAATCATATTCCTGAATACAAATGCTTACACTGTGCGAGGAATTGAACCTGCGGCTATCGGAAGTAAAGCGGTGTAAACTAAACCTATATACTTCTGATGGAAGAATTCAATTATAAACCGCTACACCACCGAGGCCGTCAACTTTCTCTATTTCATCCTGAACTCTTCTCCAGGCTGAAAATTCGTCATGGCTTCCCGTCAAACACATAGTTTGATAATTAAAAAAAGATGAATACTAAGTAAGTTCATTAACTTCCAGTACCTAGTCTTCTAAATATATATAACTCAAAGGTAACTGACATAGTGATCTATGTGCGCACAGCCCAAACCACTGGACGGATCGGGCTGAAATTTGGCATGCAGGTAGATGTTATGATGTAGGCATCCGATAAGAAAGGAGTTTGATTAATTCTACCCCCAAGGGGATAAAATAGGGGTTGAAAGTTTGTGTGAAACTTTGTCAATTTAAACCGATCGGGCTGAGACTTTGCATGCATAAAGCTACTATGATGTAGGCATCCCCTAAGAAAGGATTTTGATAAATTCCACTCCTAATAAAATAGAGGATGAAAGTTTTTAGAAAAATAAAGTTAATTTCCACGCGGACGAAGTCGCGGCAACAGCTAGTTATAAAAATATTACTGCTATATTTATTTAATCCGTAATTAAAAAAAAAGTAAAATTATTGAGATAAGTAAACAAATTGGATCACAAATCGAAAATGTTAGTAATCTTTTTTATCAATAGCTGAAAATTGACTAATTTCCATAAAAGCGTCGTCTAAATTATTTTAACCATTAACAGAAACAAAACCATCCCCTGTGACCGAAGTTGAAGAAATCGGTGAAAATGATCCTTATTCTATACGGCATTAGGTTGTGGATATTGACGAATGCTTTCATAAGGGACGGTATGCATATTGTTTTGTGATTCTTCCGTATTCCTGTAACAAACCGACTGAATAATAACGTATTTCCTTTTCGTGTATAATGCTATTAGAAAAAAAATAAGCAAATAGTCTCTGGTCTAGTGTTGGCGCCAAACAATTGTATTCTCAGTAGATTTTTTTATTAACAAAATGTCGCTTTATAATACGAAAAAAGAAAAGCTAGGTACCGTAATGGGTATCACATCATCACTGTAACTCTATGTATTATATATGAGATGAGCCACTTATTTTGTTACAAATTAAATGAATATTTCGTCGATTAAATAGAAAAATGACATTTTTCAAAATTAGAAGCAAGAATTGCCTCCTTTTATATAAGTCAATTAAATTAACCACGCCGTCCTAATCAATATCTAAATACTTTTAAAATGATATATAATACTTCCGTATAAATTTAAAACTTTAAAGGGAAAAAAAATAAATAAATTTAAAAATTTTAAAGACAAAATGTACATTTTGAATACTACCATTTTTCTATTTAAACTACTATTTGTATTCCTGACTATTATTGTTTCGGTATCGATTGTATTGGTCTCGATGTTTGCTTTGTATATTACACCTATATGTATTTACTTATTTAAAAAATATATAAAGTATTAGAGTATTATGTTATCTGTGGTATTAGTATCAGCTGTCTAGTACCCATGGTACAAGCTCTGCTTAGCTTGGGACTAGATGGCGCTGCGGGAATCGTCCATAGCTATTATTATGTCTCTATAATTGTTCCTCTGTAATTTCACTGCTTTATCTCAGCCTACAATTAAATAAATAAATAATCCTGGACAACTAACACACCATCTAGTCCCATGGTAAGCAGAGCTTGTGTTACGGATACTAGATAACTGATATAAATACTTCGATATTTTGTTTTTGTTAATACATATATAATATATGTACGTAGAAAACTGGGTGTTTTCTATGTATATTATACCGATATAAACAATCATGCTCATGCATACAAATGTTTGAATCGTATGAGGAATCGAATCCGTGACCATCAGAAGTGTTAACCGCTGGACCACCGAGGCCGTTTAATATACACCATATACTGAAAAATATATACCATCTATGATCACGCTCGCAGCTTCTGCAGCTGTGACCTCGGAGTACCACGAGGTAAATCTATGGGACGGCATAGGGTACAGGCCTGTGGATACCGTAGCGAGGTATACAGACGTGGTGTTGATGTTCTTCGTCCAGGTGTCCAGCCTCAACTCTTCAGTTATGGATTCCATTAGCCCTGAAAATATCCATGGCTATCCTAAGTTACTCGTTATAGTATTACTTATCTAAGAGTGAAAGTCCCGTCAAAATCGGTCCATCCGTTTCAGAGATTAGCAAGAAGAAATAGCCAGACAATTTTTTTCAATTTATTTTATATTCAAATTATTTCAAAATTTTATTGACCGCCGATCTGATTATATACATATATTAATTAAAATGCTGTTAATTTGAAATTACGGACACATACATTTTATCTAAATGACGACCTCGGTGGCTAGCTGTATAGGACACTGCTTTTCTTCAGATGGTCGCGGGTTCGATTCCTCGCATGGTGCAAACATTTGCTTTCATGAATATTATTGCTTCCATCGGTCTGGGTGTTTTCTATGCATATTATATAATATATGTATTTACACAAAAAAATCTAAGTATATATATCAGTTGTCCAGTACCCTTAACATAACCGTCTGCTTACCGTGGGATTAGACAGCGCTGTGTTAATTGTCCAGGGTTATTTATTATATTTATTTATTTGTTTGTATAGATTACAAGTGTAATTAAAAGAATTTACACATGTCATGATTTCAATGGTGTACCTCTCAGTCCAAACTTCGCAGCGCAGTATGTTACCATATCAGCGCACGGCACCAAGCCTGCACTCGAGTTGATTGCTACGATGTGCCCGTGACGCCTCTCTATCATACTCGGCAGGAATGCTTGGATTATCTAGTCAAAGTAGGTCATTACATTAAAATAAATCACCACAAAATATTAGGATTCTAGCACTTGACTGCCTAAAGAATCTTTTGTAGGGGTAGAATGCACAGCGGCAGTAAATATAGTAAAGTAAGAAAGTAAAATATATATATTTGGTAAAAGTAACAAGGCTCACATACGATATGTCAATAGAAAATCTTACGAACAATAGAAGATATTTTCTTTATACAAAATTCAAATTATCTTCTACCAATAACGGCCAGATATAAATTTAAGTTCCAACATCTTTTACGCCCTAGCGATATTTTTTATGTTAATGGCTCCTTATTTAATTAAATTCACTATGACAACATTAAAATTAGTTAAAAAATGTCTCTGCTATATTTTATAGCATAGAGTAATTCGGCGTTCATGAAAATAATTGAAAATAATTTCTAAAATACCTAGTTTTTAAAGAATACTTTAAAAATTTCCGCCATTTTCTTTTACTTTGACATTACCATGTCATTCAAATAAAAAAAAAGTTTTGTTTATATCATCATCATCGGCTTCTTCCTTATCCCATAATATGTTTTTATTCATACAAGAATGAGAATGGTTTGATTATAATAATACAATAAATATCAAATATAAATAGAGTTACCCACCCAAAAATGTGCCAATAAATTGATTTCGATTAACCTCGTGACCCCATCAGGTCTGAGGTGGCTTATAGGGGCGCAGGTGAGTGCTCCAGCATTACTAATGACCATGGAGATGTCAGTCAATTGGCGGCGCATACGAGCTGCAAGGGTGCTGACCTGATCTCGTGCTGTTACGTCAATGGTGTACCCGAAGCACTGAAATGAATGATACGTATTTTAAAATGGTAGATTCTATACAAAGTCGTATATGTGGGTATCTCATTCCCATCTATGTCAATGAGCTTAAGTTTTTTTTTCACTGGATGATAATGAAATGATGTACCCTCTTGCGCTAACGGTTTACACTGGCGGGGCACCAGTGAGGGACGATAGAATGAGCATGAAGTAAGGTTAGTTAGCCCATCATGACAAATTTATCACGGTGGTTTCGAGGGGGAACCGCGTGGAGCTCAACCTGACATGGTACATTGTTAGCAAGGGGGCTACCGTTCCCCATTACTAACAATCCCTTTCCTCCTCCCCCCTCCCCCAATTGTCAGGTTAGAAAATGAGGTAGACATTCAAATTACAGGGTAATTAATTTAGTCCATCAAAAAATTATCATTTTGTTAAAAATTGACGGTCTAGCTAGTTTAGCACACCGCTTTACTTTCTATGGTTGCGGGTTCGATTCTTCGCACGATGTAAACATTTATATTCATGAGTATGATTGTTTTTATGATGTTTTCTGTATACCCCTACCAATACCACCAGACCACCGAGTCCATCAGTATAAGGCTAATACCTCTCCATCTTTCTTTCTGATCTCATCTATAACTGCATTGTTGCGTCCAGGGTCGACGTCCCAACACACCACAGTAGCTCCAAGCTCCGCCAACTGTAACGCCAGCTCTCTACCAATTCCGTGACCCGCTCCTGTTATCTGTACAAAAAAAAATCAATTAGAAGAATTTATTACGAGAAAATTTGGTTATGACAGTTTTGAACAATTTCTAGTTGCTCGATCGAGTTCCGCATTTGTTGTTAGTAGGTATTAGTTGTAAGGAAATAAATACAAAACTAACCTAGTATTTCTTACAATATTTTAAGATTTTAAGATAATTACTATAAGGTAGACTTATATTTATATACATCGTAAATAAAAATAGATTTATATCTGTTATAGTCAAGACTCTACTTTCGTTAGCTTATATTATAATAACGGGCGGAATTCTAATATTATCATTTCTACACAAATATGATATCCTAAATTAACACAAGAGATACTTTTTACTTGATTAACGGGGCCATGGGCTGTAACTTGTAAAATGCGTTTCTCATTTTAGTTCAATCATTTTGTTAATATAACATGTAACCCAGGGTTTTATAAAAATACTAGCTGTCCCGGCAAACGTTGTTTTGCCTTAAAATAAAAAAAAATTTAGGGGTGGACTACCCCTAACATTTAGGGGGATGAACAATAGATGCTGGCCGATTCTCAGACCTACTCAATAAGCTCACAAAATTTCATGAGAATCGGTCAAGCCGTTTCGGAGGAGTATGGGAACGAAAACTGTGACACGAGAATTTTATATATAAGATTCATAGATCATCATTACCAATACAACTCTCTTACAACACATAAGATGTGAGGGGAAAGGATCTCTTAGTAATGTGAACTAATGACCCCATTGCTAGCAATGCACCAAATAACATTGATTTCCACGCCACGGTTTCCACGGTTTCCAAGGGGACCCCCCTTGGAAACCATCGTATTAAATTCCTGGTAACATTTATACGGTGTGCTAACTGATCTGACTTTATGCTCATCTTATCATTCTCCACTGGTGCTCCGCCAGCGTAAACCTAGCGCAGGAGAGTGCAATATTCCATTATCGTCAATGAAAAAAAATACATTAGTCTATTTACTAACTAGCACAGTTTCTCCATGCAAACTCTTCATAACAGGCGGTATCAGTAGCCTGACAAGAGCTACAGCACACGTGGAAAACAACTTCACAACAAGCACCAATGTATCTAACGCCCAGAAGGGTGCGTTCGCTACACCTCCACTACCCCACCACGGCAGAATCCAAACCTCTTGGACAGCCCGAAATCTCCTCGCCGCACTTCGTATAGATCTTATAAAAATATTTTTTCTAGGCATTATCATAAAGTAAAATGATTACAAATCAAACAATAGTCATCGATACGTCGAAATGTCATGTTATAATACAACAAATTTTTAAATTATAATGTCTATGGATTCAATAAATCTTTATTCATTTGAAAAAGGTCTAAAGAAATAAAATCTACCTTTTATAGAGGTAGATTGTGGTCAAATGGAACTGAGAGATTATCGTCCACAAACTATAAACAAATTATATATTATTTTTGCAGGAACATATGACAAGAATACAGAAAATATAATTTAATATGTTTCATGATATTATCTGTAACTTGATAATTATTATTTAATAAAATATAATTAATTTCCGAACCTCCTTTTTTAAGTAAAGGACGAAATTCTTAATAGACAGATAAAACAATGTAGGTATTTTATTCTCTATGTTATCATTAATTGTTTTAGCTGAATATTTGATCTAATATTATAATATTGTTGGATTATAAATCGTTATGGCTAAACCGCTACAAAAAGAAAGAGAGAATAGGTCTGCAGACAAAAAAGATTTCAGTTTCCATCCTTATACAATCACGCCTGAAAGCGCCCACACTTCGATACTCCTATTAGAGTCTTCCGAACCTGAAATACTATGTCAGGTATGAAATTTAACTATATGCTAGAATATATTGTATCGAAGTAGGTGTTATTTTGCGCAAGTCCATTTCATTACTTAATGATTTTATATTTTTATTTTTAAGAATGGAGCTCGGATATAGTAGCCTTGCAGTCTAGTGTTAACTGTTCGGCGACCAAACTGCGAATAGTCGAACCTAGTGTTGCCTACATTAGGCTTCCAAGCTATATCCGAGCTCTATTCAATGCCTGATATGCCTAGAGGCGAAACATGTGTGTAGAGTCAATAACAGTCGGAGTTTGATCATCAATAAAGAAGGTCGTAATGCTTCCAGTAGCGGTGGTCAGGTTTCCAAACCAAATATTTGTAGTCTCACATATGCTAATGGTAGGGGAATTAAATAAAATAATATAAGTTCATTTAGTATACATCAGTATTTTTAATATGATAATGGAATGGCGCAGCTGCCTGCGCTAACGAAGAGCGATTTACGCTGTCGGGGCAGCAGTGGAGGATGATATAAAGGCAGAGTTCAGGTCAGTTAGGCCGATTAAGCTTTTATTTACCATCTACCTGCTGCTGTTCAGTTTGCCCGTTATCATGGCAGTTGTACCACAGAACTCGGTAATAATAAATAAAATGTAGTAAGATATCCTGTTTTTATCTTCGTTTTACGTACAGTTTGATTTGTTATCGGTATTTCTATCACCGGAATGTGATATGTATTATGATTTCCAATTTTTTTCTCTATCGTTCCATAGACATTACGAGCTATAACCAAATTCTCGGCACAAGAATTGCAGAATCGTCATGTCCTATTCAACTTGAACGCCATTCATTACATAATACCCCACGTGGAGCATCCTGAGATGAACATAAAAAGGTTTGCCTTAAAGGCCTTAGCACAACTGTGTCAGTTGCCACGCGGACCGGAGCAAGTGCTAGCAAATCCACAGAATCTCAGGAAAATTGCTTACATGTTGGTGAAGGTAAAGTAAAAGTAACTAAAAACTATTTAGATGACTCCGGAAAATTGCGTTATGCATCCATTTGTTTAGGAGCTTCAATGCCAAAAACTCGTGGATCAAAAATGGCTTTAGTTAACGATTCTAATATGCAAATTTAGTTTCAATAAAAAATCATGGAGTTTAATTATACATTAACCATGTTTTAATCATTAATTTAGCGATCATGTACATATGAACGATTTGAGGTAGACTGGTATAAATCTTCTGCTTTAAAAAAAAATAAACGGATAATTTGGAATACTGATGTGATCTATTAAATAGGTCTTTGCTTAGCATATGCCATGTCGATTGGCCTATTATCAAGAGTTAGTACGAGGAAATGTCACGAGCCCGCACATTATGGGGGACGCTAGCTCTTGTCTCTCTCAATTGTGCCCTCATCTTACATCCCTCAATTATCCAAAGATTCTGTTTTTACTTTTACTTTGTGTAATTTATAAATCGAATGTTTGTAAATGTTATTAAATAATTACTTATGTAATTGCTGAAATGAAAAATTCAATTTTGCTATAGACTCCGTGCTGTTAAGCATATTTATCATTATTTGTGTATTCTACAGATACTTTTTAGAATAGTACTATAATACTAACATACTACTTGTATGTAAAGGACTTTTAATTGTAGATAGAAGACATATTTGTACTCGAGTTCGCGTCTTTAGTCTTATCGGAACTGACAAGGGAGCCGCTCGGTTGCGAACAGCTAGTCTCGGCAAACATACTGAACAGTCTCTTCTCAAGAATGAAGAATAGTCTAGATCCTGATGTACAGAAAAATTGTTTGCAGGTATTTTTATTATAGTTAAATGATAGATACGACATTTTAAATTATGCATATAGGTAATATTATGGACGGCCTCGTTGGTCTAGTGGTTTAGTTCACCGCCTCACCTCCTATAGTGCGAGTTCGATTCCTCGCACGGTATATAAACTATAAAGAGGACAATTAAATATTGTAATGTTTGTTTTTTTAATTGTTAAATTAACAAAAAATGCTCTATATTATATCACCCTTACAAATATGTTGTTTCAGCAATACAACACTGGATTATATTTTCAAAATAAACTCGCAATTTTTCAGACATTAAGCAACTTACTGGATGATCCAGTTTGTGCGTCGGAAGTGACAAAAAACCACCAGTTTAGTTGGCCATCACTCCTCGCTCTGATGCAAAGCAAATATCTGGCTATTCAACACGCGGCGCTTAGAACTGTTGACCAGTTGATCTGCCGATACAAGGACCAAGTTGTTCAGAGGACTTTCAGAGCCTCCACTGGGGTATTGGATCTCTGCGATATTCTTGAGGTAAATTATATGCTTCCAAGATTCATTACGCCTCATCTCCATCAGATGAGGCGTAATGAATCTTGGAAGCAAATAATTAAACGGTTAAATCTGATAATAATCTGAAGCAACCAGATTTGCCAACGCTTAGGAAACCTTAATATACCCTTATTGAAAAACTCCGTGTTGTAGTCTCTCGAGAAAACCTCGGCAGATAGTTCATTCCATAACCCAAGTACATTCGGAAGGAAGCTTCTCTGAAGCCGCATTCTCCGAGAGTTGCGATTTAAGTTCCAGCATCTGGAGATGAATTCCCTGTGGATGGCGAGCGGTGTGATGGCATCATGTCGAACAATTCCTCAGAATACATTCCGTTGTATATTTGGTAGTACACATAAAGCGATACGAAGTCTCGCCTCAACAATATGGGAGTCATATTGTTGAGAAGAGACTTCGCATCGCTCCTCGCATACCGCTTCCCGCAACCCCAAGAGATCGGGATCCACCTAAATCAATACAATTGACACAGTATTATATAAACCCAAACTAAGCTATGAGTATTAAACAACTGATAGAAATAATGAAATACATTTATATATGTAAATCCTTACATAATAAAACATTATTATGAACTAATAAGACTAGAATCTAAAACCATTGTGCTAGCGGGGTAACATACCAAATAATCAGAGACAAGTCAATAGGGACGCCCACTGGAATGTCAACTATACAGGAAACGCGATGTGGTCTTCCTATCCCCATGGACAATCGACAAAATGGCTTTCTTGGACCGGTCTTCTCTAGTTTCTTGTGTGCTGTGCCACTTTACTTGTACCAATTTTGTTCTCAGTCGTACGAATTTCGTGACGTCCACACGCAAGTGTTGGGAGTTTTACGAAATTACGTCGAAACAGAAGAGAACGCAGCGCATTTGTACCAGTCCGGTTGTATTTTAAGGCTACTGGCGTACTTGGAAATGGCACTGCCTGCAATGAAGCCCCATTGTCTTGCGGTGCTGACCAAAATGTCGTTCACGTCCAATGGAAGAGATGTAAGCTATTTTTGCTGTTGAATGTCACGAATATGAAGTATTTTATTTTCATTTAGAATTAATTTCGGCGATAAACATCATCATATAATTATTATCAGATATACTTTCTTTTGAGTCGTATTTATGAATAAACGCATCAACAGCTAATAATGTTTTATAAATAATGCAATTGGGTTTTGAAGCATGGTCTCTTACATTTCAGGCACTGTTTGAAACAGGAACAGATTTAGTGTTTTGTCATCAACTTCTGAGTTCAAACGTGGAACTGCTCGCTGATGCAGCTATGGGTGTTGCCAACATGACAAAACTACTGCCTGCTGCAGTTCGTATGTCTGATACCAACATTATAGAAGCATTATGTGGTAAGAATCCTAGTTGTTTTAAATGATATTGAAGTTTTTGTGTCGTGCCGGAGTAATAATAAGGATAGAATGTATCTCAATGTATACTAAAATATATAGAATATATCTTATATATATATATATAATAATTAATACAAAAACAAATTTAGGTATATATAATAATCTTAAATAGTCCTAAATAATCTTCTGCCATCCTACAAAAATGCAGCAAATTACATGTAAATGTGTTCAGGTCTAGAAATCGACTAACTACACCGTTGAGTAGACTCAGTGCAAGATAAATAGGAGTCTGCTTGGCCAATTCTGTTCTTCCCTATGGAACATCAAACAAATTAATGTCTTCTGCGTACACTTTTGCTAAGGTTCTATCGTCTTTTTTAACTATGAAGACATACATAGATATGTAACCAAATAACAAATGTAATCTCTAGTTCATTTTTCTACTCTACTGCTTTGGTTCTCGCAATGCTTGAGGAGAATTACCTACCTTGTCTATTAATGGTCTATACTCTGATGCCTACGGTATGACTTATCTATACAAGCCATGGTTACCCACTCATCTGTTTGACACTGTCTGTGTGTAGCTCATTTTTCTAGAAAAATGCAACTGAAACGTTAGACCTGTTACAGTAATTGCATGAATCATTAATATTTTGCAGCAATTCTGGGTGATGACGCTGCAGTCTGGTTCTATAGTCGAATGAATGCTCTGAGAGCATTAGCTGAATTATGCCGCATTATACCCAAAGCTGCTTTCAGTCTTGTTGATCCGAAGACCTTTGCTTCCTTACGAAATATTAATAAGAAATGTAAGTGTAAAAACATTTAATGAATAAAATATTTACTGTACTCTGCAGCGACGGAGTTACTGAAAATAGCGAGTTCTACCACACATTATTATGTCGTTGTGAACGCAACACTTGTTCTCATTTCGTCCGGTATATTTGAATCCTACGTGGAAGGGGCGAGCCTACCACTGTCTCCTGGATAAATTATTGGTCCTACATTGGAGAGTCATTCAGTAATACAAATTGACACAAAATTTTTCTTTTACACCAAAAGATTTGTGCTCAAGACCTCTTGAGCGTAAGTCACGTTATTATAAAATCTCTGAATTCTCTATACCACCTATGCCACTGTTTTGGATCGACTGGAGGAGATCTCTTCTAGGTATAAGTCTACATTTGCTTACATTGTCTCTAAATTATATTATTAATGTATTATCTTTGCAATACAGAATATAGATTAATGCTAATATAACAATATTATTCTCAGTCAAAGATACACCAATAGAGGCACAACGATTGGCTGTCCAGTGTTATATTAATTTACAAAACTATCACGTCAGTACAAGAGCTATGCTTAATTCGGATTTTATGGAGGAATTAATAAATATACTACAGGTTTGTCAACAGAATTAAAAAAAAGATATACTCGTATTTATAAAATAAAATGTTTTTTTGTAACGTAATTGTTAATTTTGAACAATTTCAAACTTATCTAGAACTTAACGATGTCCATTAGTACAATTTTTTTTTTATTTCAATTTAAAATTATTGAAGGGTCTCGAATCACTTTTGGTCTTATGGTCGTTAAATCACGTTGCCCTGCAGCCAGGCAATCTCAGAAGCATTTTTGGGATAGTATAAAATGGTGCACCCGTCTGCGCTATAGTATACGATAGAGGGGTATCTGTAGAAGATGAGATGTGACAAATGAAGTCAGATCAGTTAGCCCATTGTGATGACGGTATGGTACATGTCATAAATGAGATCATTAGACTCCATTATTCATTATTAATAATACCCTCCCCAAGTAATTTGTAATTATACTGCCCTATTTCACCGAAACACACTTTAAATACAAGCTGCTTGACATCCAAATAGGCGAGATTCATTTTTAAGCCAATTAGCAACTTACATAGCAAGAACTTTGGAGATCTACATGTATATACGTGTTACCTTAATACCAACAGTATAAATACAATAGTTATTTAAATTAATGATTACGATTTAATAATTTCAACCTTCATTATGTTTAATTAATCGTTTATCAAACCTTTTATTATGAATTTTAATCATTACTTTTAATCGTTAATCAAATTAATTTTGGACCAATACTAGGCGATTGAGAAGTGCATACACATATTAAATTGATGTGTCATTTTTGCAGCGTATTGACACAAATTTGAAGATCATGACGTGTACTGTTCTCAATGGGTTGATGGTGGAAGAAGTGGCACGTGAACTGTTTACTCAAAAAAGAGGAGAATCGGTAGGCTTCTCTCTCTAGTCTCTATCAGCACAGTTCCTTGTTTTTATCGCGTACGTAGGTATTAACAACTGCTCTACGTAGACTCAACGTTCCTATAGGCCATTCGAGAACCAAGAAAGATCCTTAGTTCTTACCATTTTTAATACTTAACTTTTTTACTCCAAAAATGCCAAAAACTCCAAAATCATGCCTCAATGCTCCTACAGTCTGGTTTTATATGTTTTGTAGGTGGTATCTGATAATTTGCGAATCGAACATATCGGCCTGCGGACTGCTCTTTGTACATTGATTACGTGCAGCGTCACCGACGAGGGCGCTGATGTTTACTTGGAATTAGGAACTATACATTAGTGAGTTGTTTTATATAAAAGTTCTAGTGTTCCAGTTCCAGCTATTTACTGCGATTTCGTATGCTTGTTTGAAATAAATAGTAGTCTACGGATGTACTCGTATTAGGTACATCTATTTTTACGCCAAATTTCATTAAATTTCGTTCAGCAACATATAACGCGAGTGTGACCTACGCGTGATTCCCCCTGAAATCAGCATTATTAAATTATGGTGAATTTAGCTCGGTTAGCTAACGGACCTAACTTTAGGCTCATCCAATCATCCTGTATTTACTTATTTTTTATTTAAATCTTCTTATCTCTTCTTAACTCTGCGCCATTCACACGGGAAATCTCCCCTGACAATTCATGGTCCGTATGCACTCGGCGCTAAACAACAGTCGATCGAACTCTCTACTAGTAGTGTTACACATACACTACACTATACATCCTCCACTAGTTCTGGCATCCACCATAAGTGCAAACCGGAAAAAACTGTTACATTTGTCTCCATTACGAAAATCCTAATTCTAGACGGCAGATATATATTATTATATTTGATCCCGTCCGGCAGCTTTTACGTGAAAGAGCCACAAACATCCATTGATAGGGGGAAGAGAATTGTTAGGAATGTGAATTATAAAACTTATTGCTAGCAATGTACAATATCAGATTGATCTCCATGCGGTTCCTGGAAACCATCGTGACAAATTTCTGGTGAATTTTCCACGATGGGCTAACTGACCTTACCTCATGCTCATCTCATCTTCCACTAGTGCCCCGTTAGCGTAAACCGTTAGCGCAGGCGGGTGCATGATACCATTATCATCCATTAAAAATAGTCCATCAATCCATCGTCACATTCGTGTTTATAATATTGTAGGTTATAAATAATCTGTTTGCAGCATGGTTGAAAATAAATTAGCCAGATACGTTGTCGGCGCTTGGGAGCCCGCCATAGAAGCTATATTCCGACACCATCCATCTGCAAAGTTTGCCTACACCGGGAAATTGGATATTAACGATTTTACGCAGGTAACAACAGCGACTGGTGTCGTCATGACCTCGCTAGTAGACGTAGCTTTAGCATATGGCGACTTAATGAGAAGACTGCAATTTGATAGTATTCTTGGTATATATAGATCTCTGCCGGTGGCAATATTACAGATTTAAAGCACCTAGTTATACCCCAAACCCCTTTACAAATATCCCTTGAATAATATTTATTATGCATTTATATATGCGAATCTGTCAGGCCGATTATCCGGGATTGAGTTAAAATCTTTCAAATCTATTTACAGAGACTAGGCTCGTTTTGAGGTACTTTGTAAATGCGTTGTCATTATTTTCTGAAAGGCATATCTAATTACAAAGTTGTGTATGTGTGTGTGTGCTCCAGGAAGGATTCTACGTACAGAAAAGACTGGGCGACAGATTCTTAACAATTGAAGAGATAATGTCCCAGAAGCCCCCACACCGGTACCCTGTTTTTATATGCATGTTCCACCCACACGCCTCGTTTGATGCTACTTCTGGTTTGGATATAAGATCGCCACGTTAGTATCTATGTATATCCAGGGATAGTAGTGGATTCGATTCTTCACAAGATACAAACATTTGTATTACTGGCTGAAAACTATGATACGCATTTTCAAACAATACAAATTGATACTATATAAAGCAATTTATCCGGCTCGAATGACCAATGTTCACATCCCAAAATTGGACGTGAAACAAAAATGTTCTGCGAATTTAATTAAATTGAATAATGTCAATAATGGGACATTCTATCCCTGTGTCTCTGTCAAAACGCCATATAGTGGTAGAAAAATTAACACAAATGCATATTATAATGTTTCACAACAGACAAATCCTCAGTTGACTCAAAGCCGGCGATATCTCTATCTGGTCGGTTCCACCTGCCTCAGCTTCCAGACGATACAAATTTGCGCGCGTATATGCTGAAATTACGCATCTGGTTTGGTGATCAGTAAGTATACATTTTTTTTTCTTTTTCTACTGTTACCGTCAACGGCAACCGTGCCTCGCTAAAGCAGATTTCTGTGACTACACCGCCATCTAGTTTGAGTGAGGTAACCACCACAATATATTTTTCATTATTTGTATGATTATTATTATTTATATGATTTATGCTTATTAACTTGAAGTAAATATGTAAATAGTAAAGATTAAATCTAACTATAATTATATTATAAAATGTATGTTCTAGAAGTCTGATATAATCATATTTATTTTTGAATACAAGATATAAGTTCTGATTTGACCATAACAGTCCTACCTACCTACTGACTTTAAAAATAGAACCGCCATATTGTGTAGACAGCCCAGTTAGGTTTAAGTGCTCTAAATGAAAAGTACATACAATTGAATATATAAATGAATAATCTTTGTATATCTTTGCTGCTGTCGCTATATAAAACTACACATTTGCAAATTCTATATAAATATACATACACTTTGAGGATTTATTTTTGTAATTCTGATGTTTTGTAATAAAAATGTTTATTTACTAATCATAAGAATTCTTAGCTTATTTTATATGAAACTTTCGAGTAAAACATGTTACTCCTGGGAGTCCTGAGTGGAAACCTGTACTACAGATCACTGTTTAAAAGGTACCTATAGTATTTCGGAGTGAAGTATAATAGGATATAGTGAAGTATATACATAATACTATGATAGTATTAGTGAATCTGACAGAGGACGACCACCAGAAAAGTAGCGCCATCTACCGGGTCCAATAGTATTTTCAAACTGTCTAGGAATCTTAGTATATGTAAAATGAAGTCTGTTCGCTTAGATCTTTTAAACTACGCAAAGGATTCTACTAACTTTGTGCTTTATATATTAATATAAACATATGTATAATTCAGTAATATATTGTACTGTATTTAAATAAATAAAATATAAAATTCATTTAATTAATATATCCCGCCATTTTTACAATCAGGCTCTGTCAACTGCACAGAGTACGTTGTGAACAATATTAATAATGCCAAAGACTATATATACTACATATATACATAAGCATCTGGGCAAAGCTAGTGCGTTCCACTAGCATAGAATAGAATAGAAAATACTTTATTTACATAAACGTAAATTTAATTTATAAATATGCTTTTCGTTACAGTGCCAAATCTTTACTTTACTTTGAAATTGATGACGCGCATTATGAAGTGAGGTGACTATTTTTTTTAGTGTAGTTTTAAATTTAAGGTACTTAGCCTGGCGTTGTGTAAATTGTCCTCGTTTATTATCTTACTAATATTATAAACTCGGAAGTTTATGAGTGTGGGTAGATGGATAGACGGATGTTACTCTTTCATGGAATACCTGCTAAATGGATTTTAATGAAACTTTACAAAAATATACATCAGAATAACATACACGCTATGAACTTCATGCAGTTGAAACCGCGGGCACCGCTAGTTAATAATAACATTGTGATGCAGATATCGCGAGAAATGCAAAGAAGTATCGTCATCGCTGAAGCAAAAAGCCCAGCTGTTGGCAGAGTTTGTGGCGGAGCAAATGTCCGGGTTGTCCCAGGACCGTGACTGTACCATGCCGAGCGTTGACTTGCATTTGGCTGACTTAATGGTGACTACCATCGCAAAGGGAATTATATTTGTGACTAGCCGACCTGTGCCATTCCGTCTCTCTTCACACAACTCTTTCTTATGTGGCACAGACGAAGTTTTTTTTTTTGGATATGATAATGAAATGGTGCACCCGCCTGCGCTAACGGTTTACGCTGGCGGGGCACCAGAGGAGGATGATAAGATGAGCATGAGGTCAGGTCAGTTAGCCCATCGTGACAAATTCACCAAGAATTTATCACGATGGTTTCCAGGGGGAACCGCGTGGAGGTCAACCTGACCTGGTGCATTGCTAGTATGGGATCATTAATCCACATTACTAACAATCCCCTTCCCCCCGCACAGACGAAGTTCTCAAAATGCAGATAGATAAATAAGAAGTTTATTAAAATTAGAATAGAAAATCCTTTATTAAAGTAAACAACGAGGGTAATAATAGTAATATTATAAATACGAAAACGTATGTCTGTTTTTTGGTTTTTTACGAAGTAATGAACTTGACTATCTCGGTAGGTTGTTTTTATTTAGACAAAATGCAGATGATGTCATGGGTAACAGCAAGAGAATTAATATATTTTGTTACCAGATGGATTTAAACTCAAAGGTGATAGGGCTTGGCTGGGTGCGGTGTGGCGGAGCCCTAGAGCGTGCACTCTTGTACAAGGTGCTGGCGGACCGCGTGGGCCTGCCTTGTGCTTTGCGTAGGAGGAGTAGCGCGCATGCGTGGTGCGAGGTTGCAGTGCCGGAACCGAGCGTGGTATGTACTACCATTAATTATGGGAACGTTGAGGGCAATGTTGGGCACAATGGGAGAAATGGCGTGCTGGAACCAAGCGCGGTATGTACTACTGTTGATTATTCTCATTTCACCATGTAAGATGGGGTACCCATCACCACCTGTAAGCGTAATATTCTCATAATTGATTTGCCTTTATCCCATTTTTAGGGCTCGGCACAGACAGGCGGCCTTAGCCATTGCGAGGCTCTTTGTCCTAGGTGAAAAGTATGTGATACGAACAATTATGCGGATTTTTCCATTCATTCAAGAAAACTAGGTATTAAGCGACGCACCGGGCGATTGTTCTGTCCGCTACCCTCTAAGGTCTACACTGGGCGCAGTACGACCTCTTCTTCCACTGATCCCTATCAACTGTATCTCACTTTCCTCTCCATTTTTCCATCCTTCGTACTCTCATCATAATATCAATCTCTGTTTGTTTACTTGTCAGGGAGAAGTAGAAAACAAAGAAGAGAGTTACCCAGCGGGGTTACTGCGCGTCAACTACGTTGTAGATCTCATGAACCCTCCTGGTCAATTGTTGCCATTGGGTAGCTTCGAGGCGCAGCGGGTGTGCGGTCCCGTTTGTGCACCGCCTTATACCGCGAGAAAAATGCCCGAAGTTTGCAGATGTGAAAAATAAAACATTTTCTTTCTTGTCCAGACCTATCTAATGTACGACCGTTTGTTTGTGTTTTGAGTAGATACTCGTTTAGTTCTTTCACATACAACTATTTACCTTCAATTAGATTTGAGGTCTGGTCAGTTAGCCCATCGTGCTAATTTCACCAAAAATTTATCATGATGGTTTCTAGGGGGAACCGCGTGGAGATCAACCTGACCTAAGGTTATTAGTCCATTATCATTATTCCATTACTAACAATCCTTTCACCCCCTTTCAAATGGATTCTAGCTGCTAACTAAAAATGTAATAAAATCTGTACATTATTCTAATTATTTTGATTCTAACAAGAAAAACTATTTAAGAGTTATTATTTGATTTAATCTCATTAAAAAGTATAATGTAGGTACAAAGGCAGTTTCGTTTTACACTTCGTCACAATTTATTTTATAATAAAATATAATACTTATAATAACTTAATTGTAGGCACATTTTAAGACAGTGCACAATGCACGGACGGATGGACGATCACAACATTTATACTTATACACATAACCTATTTTTTAAATAGTACTTATCCAAATATTTTTAAATACTCGACCAAAAAAACATTTACTTTAATTAAGCAAAAAAATAAACATTTATAAAATTAAGAGCGTTTATAGAAAATTACAGTAGGTACATACAGAAAATACACTTTATTATAAAGCAACATCTTCTATTTTTTACTTATCGTATTGTTAAAATGAACTAAATATAAATTTTGGAAAATAATCTTTAAATTTTATACATTAAGGTACTTTTTCCAATTATTTACATTGCTTAATAAATCAATATCAATAAAGTAAAAAAATATTGAGAAATAAACTCTAAATTTTTAACCTTAAGGCAGATTTTCCAATGTTAATGTTAATTCACCGTATTTTAATAAAGCTGTCACCTGAATACACTTTAGCTGCAATAAAATAATAAAAAAAAAATATGGTATAGATATTTTTCTGGTCGAGTTTCATTTAATTATAATTTTTAATATTGCCAATAAATTTATCTAATTATACAATAATTTTAAATTTGTTCAGACTTGGTTATAACCAATTTCAATAATTGACTAATGTTATAAATGATGATAATGTAGAGTACATAGCTACTATTTTATACCCGACTGACTGTGCGCGATTCAGAGTAGGGTAATGTGTTTGTTTTTATATGCTAGATTATTCACTAAAACTATACATATATAATAACTGTATGACAATAGTATTGTCGAGAAAATGACCATAGATTAAAAAAAAAATAGTGAGCATTTGATTGGTCTATTACTCCATACACTGAAAAAGTAAACATATACAATGTTTATGATACCAGAATATATAGTAGGTAAGTCGAATAATCCTACAGATTATAATTGACAAACAATTGTTGTCTATTACACACAAAAATACTTTAAATTAAAATCATTCACCATAGACAATATTGTCATATAAAAAAATATATTTGAAGTCGATTGCAAATCATAAATACTATGATACTTGGTATAGTATACATAATATAATACTTATGTTTAAACACCTCAAAGGTAACGAAAAAATCCTAATAATAAAAAATCATATTGATAAACTATAACTAAAGGATATGCTTAGTTATCGAGAATTATTAGCCGAAAACGAAAAAGGAAATATTTGTAGTTTAACAGTACAGACTTCCTATTCCCACATGCTGCCAAAAGCGTTGCAAATGAATATTTGCAAATTATATAACGCATGTATTTTATAAGTTAGACTGAATCAGTCTAACTTAAAAAATACATGCGTTATATAATTTCAATTTAAAAAAATTATTTAATGTAATGATTAAAAAAAGGCGAATTTATTTAATCTTTGTTTATATTAATCAGGTATCATTATAATAATATACAATTAACATAATGCTACATATCCCGTAAAAATACAATTAAAGAATTTATAAGGAGAGAAAATTTTAAATGTATAAACATTTTCGGCTAACAATAAGCGATATCCACATATAACATTTAGACAAAATATGTCGCGTATATTCGACAATTTCAAACATATCTTGTCTTATGTAAAAATCAGTCTAATACGTAACTCGGTATCCAATATATGGCATTTACAAATAGTCAGACATCAGAGAAATAATCGAAAACTTTACGAATAAATCTGAAATATATATACTAGCTGTTGCTGTATATATATGCAATTTAGCAACTGTACTGCATTTTAATAAGTCGTAGAACAGAAATTCATTTTCATTCACCCTGTATAATATAAAATGGTGGTAATATACAGCTATTAATGTACATAAATATAATTCCTACTATTTTAATTAATAAAAAATATAAGGTACTATTACCAATATTAAGATATAGTTTTTAAATTAACATTACATATCACCAGTTTAAATGGATGGAATGTGTACTTTCTTATGTATATACTGCTATAGATATATATGTATATATATATTTAAGATGCACTTATTGAGCGCCGTTTTATGTGTAAATTCATATATAAAAAAAATCGGCGTTACAGCTTACGGCATTGTAAGTCTTTTCGGCAAGTATTATATTTAATAAGCTAAGTATTAAAAAACTTTAATGTTTATAGCCCAAAAATTAAAATTTTTGAGTTAATATTAACTAGTGATATATTTATCAATACATACGAAAACCATGCGCTTCAATGGACATAATTTCACAAACCAACAAATATTAGTTTGACTATTAAACATACATAATAAAAATAAGAATATCTAACCTTCATAGAGGTCTTAACATCCTCCGATGTCTATAGAAAAGCTTAGCAAGTCCTAAAGATCCACAGGTTAAAAACAAAGACTTAGGAAAAAGAAAATAATTTATATACTTACTTTTTCTTTGTCTGCTGCCAAATTTTCAAATCGTAATGTGTGCCGTAACAAAAAAATGGTTGACAATCACTGGCTTAGCAAAACCCGAAGATCACAGCTAAATTTTCATTGGTTTAGATGAAAGTAAATAATTTTTAACTTCTTTTTCGTGTATCAAATTTTTAAATCGTTAAACCGCAAGCGAAAAAAAAGTTTCACAATTAGGCTTAGTAGGTCTACAAGATTCTTGATATCGTTAAGTGTGCTGCACCAAAGGCTGAGAATCAATGGCTTAGCCTGTCCTGAGTCCTGAAGACAACAGGTTAAAAATATAGATTTAAACGGTAGTCTGTGGCACGCCCCGCACGATTTGCGTGCGACTGCGGGCGCGTGGCAGAGGCTCTGGTGCTCGAGACACTGTGGACTCCTTCAAAGACAGTGCAGAATCTGTGGACGCTCGCGATGTCGGTCTTGGTTGCAGAATAGACGGCTGGCTCGCCTGTAACACATTTATTTAACTTATTATATAATAACTAACTGGCCCGCGTAACATCATATGCATCGCACTTACTTGTTGTGTATTTACTATATTTCTCCCAATTCACATATCTGTTTAAATTATGGCCTATGTGTTAATCTAATGTATAAACTATATTACTGTAAAGTTTCGTCAGAACTGAACGGATCTGTAATTTTTCATGAAACTTTCAGGTTCATAATATTAGTAAGATGTGCCAAAGAAAAAAAAAAGAAAATAGAAGCATGCCAGGACTAAAAGTATCCAATCGAATCAGAAATAAAACTATAAGAAAGAGAACAAAATTAATAGAGATTTATTGAACAGAGTCAACCTTGCATGTTACTCTGGTAAATAAATGTTTGTTACACATTAACAAGTAAGTGGCATGCGAAAATCAACATATAAGCCGCTACGCACTCAATCATTTTTCAATCAGATAATATTGTCAGCACTAAGAATTTTTATAAGACATTTGATTCTATTTTCTGGGAGATTGGGGACAGATTCTCTTTGTTATAAAATCTTATGCAATTCCCATAAAACGAATTACTAACTTTCGTCGAACGGCACTTCGTTACAACCAGTTTGTTATTACGTAAGCTTTTATTAGTGTAATATAACATATTAATTTTCGGTAAATTATATCCATCTAAAACTGTCAAATTATTACATGACTACCCTGTGGACCAATCGCCTGTTTGCCATTTACGTAACATAAAAAAATACTAACCGCTTTACTGATTGTCTGTGGTGTAATCGGCCGCTTGATGGGCAGGTCTCTATACTCGTAGATGTTGTCTCTGGACGGCATTGTATTCTCTATGCCCGTGTCGTCGCCGCCCCGTAACGTGTAGATATCATCGTTGTAGTATCTATCTGTTTCTCTATACGATACAAAAACTATGATTAGGTTTTATTGCTACCGTTTCTTACTTCTTCTAAAACAAACATATGATATACACATAGTACAATAGCATGACAATCCAAAATATCTTTATTCAATTAAACATTTATTATAAGACACTTCCTTTTCGACGGCCTGTTTGATCTAGCGTGTAGCAGTGTTTTACTTCCGATGGTCTCGGGTTCAGTATAATTCTTTGCATTGTTCTGGGTGTTTTCTATGTATATTATATGTGTATTTACAATAAAAATATCTAAGTACATCTATCAGTTGTCTAGTACCCAAAGGACAAGCTCTGCTTATCTTGAGACTAGATGGTGTTGTGTGAATTTTTTGAGAAATAATATTAATTTATTTTACTGGACTTAAAAAATATATAATTAGTATAAACTGTGGAAAACAGATTAATGCGAGAGAATATTATTATTATTATCTTTTTAATTTATTGTTTTTTTAGATTTCAATTTCAATTTCTTAATGCACCGCCTACATGAATGTCTGTTTGCCCAATGGTTGACTGGGAGAAAATGCCTCAAGGTGTTAAGTCCGCCATGTGTACCTGTTATTTATGTATTTGTGCATTAAAGTTTTAATAAATAAATAAATATTAGCCTCCAAGTATCTTACTTTGTATGATGTTTCAAGCATTTTCCTTTGGAATGGGAATGCATAAGCGGTACTGGCTTCACATGATAACGTGATACCGTAGTGTTCATGTATATGGACGACGGTTACCAATTACCATCAGCTGGACCGTCTGCATGTGTTCCATTATTTATATTGTTAACAGGGTCTTAACACGAATAATGTTATAATAAACTAGCTGTATTGGCGACTTACAGTCTCCGCGTGGATTTAAGTTTATTATTCTAAAATAAAAGTAGCCTACATCAGCTACCTGCCAATAAAAGTCCCGTCAAAATCAGTTCAGCCATTTCAGAGATTAGCCAGAACAAACAGACAGACAAAAATTTACAAAAATGTTTTCTTTGGTGTACGTACAGTATTTATATTCATATGCATGTAGTAAAAAACGGTTATTTCAATATTACAAACAGACACTCCAATTTTATTTATATGTATGGATATAGTTATTTATCTCTTTCGACGTTTCGACTAGGTTGCATTAACCGTGGTTACGAGGTCACATAAAATTCTTCGTGTTAACACTCGGTTAACAATATAAATATGATAGTTTAAAATTAACTATTGCATTCCACTATAATTAATAAAAACCAACATATGCTACTACATATAAAAAATGGCAATCCACTTAAAAGATAAAACTTAAAATATAACAAAAGCGTACACAAACTAAAAAGAAAATGCAACTAAAGAAACGTATCTAGAAGCGTTTACGAACGAACGATCCCACAAACAATCGCTAAATTAACCGAAGCAATGTATATAATAATCCGTTAGTTGCACATACATTGCTGGTATCATTTTCCATTTCGGTGGTGCAGCCCTGTGGTAGAAAGAATTTTATCAATATTTAGAAGATAAGCTGTGCTCGTGGTTTCGACCGTATGAAATTTATAGCCTAAATATTACTCTTATACACAACATATATGACCAATAGGTCTATGCATCCCCTTCGATCGCCCCACTCCCCTGTCCATTACGACGGCCTGGACCGAGGTTCGAATCCCTAGCGGTGCTCTCAGTCTAAAGTCGTTTCTGTTAGGCGGGAGTTAGCCTTCAGCAGCTCCATAAGTCCTTCCGCAGGAGTGTCATCTGCACTCGCCCCCTATCGTCCGGTGAAGCTGTAAAGGCCAGATGCGGCCAACAGCATTAGAGTAGTCCGAAAAAAAAAGGTGCATATACCTTTTTTTTGGTCGGAGTGCCCAAAATTCTTAATAAATACAATACTCTGATGTATATGCTATATTACTGTAAAGTTTCATTAAAATCTGTTCACTAGTTTTTGCGTGAAAGAGTAACAAACATCCATTCATCTCTATACATACTCAAAACTTTCGCGTTTATAATATTAGTAAGGTAATAACAACATATTATCTCGGATAGAGTAGGCAGAGAAATTATCAATCAGTCAAGGAAAATCCCAGTGAACCCTTTTAGGTTTTTTTGATCCAATGTGATAGGGAACGGTTTACGCTGCCGGAGCACGGAGTGGAGCAGTCAGGTCTGGTAGGCCATCGTGACAAATTCACCAGGAATCACTAGTATCCAGGGGGAAAAGCGTGGGGGCAACCTGACATGATATACTTCTACCAAATCGGTCATCAGTCCACATTACTAGTAATGTGGTGTGGTGTGATGACCGATCCGAAACCCACTTAGTTGATTTTTTTTGTTGACTAAAATTTTTATTTTGTGTTGACTAGTTTTTAACTCACTAAAATTTGGGTTATAAATGACAGTAATAATAATTGCATTATCCTGTTAGTTTATTTTGTTAGTTAAGCTTGTTATTATTAGTAGAATACCAGCGCTGCGTCAGTTAGCTGTTAACCAGAAATTAAATATGTATTTGTAATTGTTGTATGTATTACTATGTATATGAGTGTGTGTGTATGTATATATACATATATAATATATATGCATATATATACATATCTTAATGTTTAGTTTATATAAATATGTGTATGCTCTGGTTGTCAATGTTTTTATTTTCTCTCTTTGTTTATTTGTACAGCAGGATAGTATTACCTCTTGGCATTCCTCCACAGCATGCAGCAGACCACCAGCAGTACTATGAGGACCAGGCAGGCGCTGCTCACCGTCCAGAATGCTATTTGCAGCGGCTGCTTCGGCTCCCACCAGTACTAGAAATATATTTTATTTATTTATTACTCTTTATTGCAACTTTAAAAATTACAAAAAAAAAAACAAAATATATAGTATGATCTCTTCCAGATAACTTTTGGGTAGAGAAGAAAAGATAGAATGTGGTGGTGGAAATACATATACATTATAAACACGTCTATGTGTTTGTAATGTATATGTATGACATACATTATACATAATATATAATAATCTATCTATTTATATATAAATGAATTGCTGTTCGTTAGTTTCAAAATTCGAGAACGCCTGAACCGATTTAGCTAATTTTAGTCTTGATATATTCGTGGAACTCCAGGGAAGGTTTAAACGGTGATAAAATATGAAGAAATTGCATAGAGAATAATAACATTTAATTTTATGTTCCTATACAAACTGTCAAGCAGGGTGCGTTCAGAAATTTATTACGTAACTAAACTTGAAAACTCCTTTGATTCTGAGGCGAAACAGAGTTCGCGGTATCAACTAGTATAATATAAAATTAAGAAATATTTATACTGACCTATATGGCTGTAGGGAATAAAAATAAGTGTAACATTTACCTCAGTTATAGGTGGGTAAGTGGGCACTAGACGTCCGATCACAGTTGGCAGGTACATGGTCCAGAACGCGAGCTCCGTCTGCCGGTAGTTGAGTTGTATCGTCGAGTTGTAGGTCGTATTTAGGTTCAAATACCGAAGTTGTCCCGCTTTCGCCATTTCGAAATGGACCCCGAGGATGCGTGATCTTGACGGGTTACTGAAACATACAGTTATTATAGGAGAGTCTACAATGGACGCTAAAATTATGTCACTGCTCTTAGTTGAAGTAATCAGAGGCATATAATTACGTTACGTACGACGTTATGGTTGATATAAACATGTATTATATATATATATCTTATATATAAAATTCTCGTGTCACAGTTTTCGTTCCCATACTCCTCTGAGACGGCTTGACCGATTCTCATGAAAATTTGTGAGCGTATTGAGTAGGTCTGAGAATCGGCCAACATTTATTTTTCATCCCCCTAAATGTTAGGGGTAGTCCACCCCTAATTTTTTTTTTTTATTTTAAGGTAAAACAACGTTTGCCGGGACAGCTACTATTATTTTAAATTGTTGACAATGGAATTGGTGCATCCGCCTGCACTAACGCTATATGAAGGATGATAAGAAGAACATGAGGTCAAGTCAGTTAGCCCATCAAGTTATATTTAGGAATTAGGTTAAGTTTAGGTTAACCTCCACGTGGTTCCTCATGGAAACTATCGTAATCATTTTATCATTATCTACTTGTGTTTTTGTTCAATTTTCAATTGATGAGTATAAAATACTAAAATTTAAGAAACACTTACCCAAACCTTGCGAAGTCAGAATACGCCTTCATAAAGAAATGGCTCATGTTCCGGTCGTTGGGCAGCCACTGTTGTCTGTCGATTCTCTGCTTCACGGGGAAGAACTCCTGGTCCATGAAGGGGGCGCCCGTGAGGAAGTACCGTTCGTTATCGTGCGCGTACAGCCGCCACTCCGGCCACTTGTACGCCTCCACCGTCGTGTTCAGTACGTACATGTAGACGGGCACGTTCTGTTCTAGTAGTGACTTCACCATTTTGTCGGTGGGTGCTCGGTACAGGAAGTCGGAGAGTAACTGCGAATGGTTTTATTTTATAATTTATTACAAGATCCGGTTTGGCGTAGATAGGTAGAAAGATAGAAGGTACGGACACCTTCTACGTTGTTGCAATGCCGACCACATTTATTCACATTTATTTACTCAATGGATTATAGTCTCTTTTGAAACTCGGAGACTAAATTCACAGGTGTAAATTACAAATTATGAAATAAAGTTACCTTTAGCTGCAGGGCATAGCTTACCTGTGATTCCGATTTATTGAATCGACATATGCATAGTTTATAAAATTTATGTACGTACACTACTGTTTCCATTAATGTCTTTGTATTAAACAACACAAAAATTATTGTTTGTGGTTTCGTTTCTTTCTCTCAAATAGCTAAATATTAAAAAATATGGTACAGTTTAGTTAAAAAAATATCGTGTTGGAATATGTCGCAGTCAGACTTTAAAGCTTCAGCAAACGATAGCGGGCGAGTGCAGTGGCACTCGTAACCCGCTAAAGGACTTATGGAGCGGGTAAAGGCCAACTCTTGCCTGACGTATGCGACTTCAGTCTGAGGGCAATGCTAAGGATTCGAACCTCGGCTCAGTCAGTCCTAATATCGATCCCGTTTGATTTAGACGAGCGATCGATCGGAGGAGAGAAAAGAGCGTAATACTCACATGTATGTACTGGTCCCTGATGGCGCTGATATTGTGTGGCTCTGGATGGTACGTGTACATATACCGGATGGCTTCGTAAACGCCGCGCGGGTTCAACGTGTAGTTGTACCGGAGTACTAATTCGGCTACTTTCTGGTTGAACCAGCCTTCGTTGATTTCGTATCTAGGTGCTAAAGATTGATTGTTATCTGCAAACACAGGCAAGAAAAGTTAAGAAGGGATCCTTACTAATATTGTCCTAGTTTATGCTTGATTACATTGTAACTGCTATTTAGTTTAATTTAATTATTTATTGCGTTGTGTGAGAAAGTAAAAATGAGAAAACGGGTAGGGTATGTAACAAAAATGAATCTAAAAATATACATATTAACATATATATAATAACAACATACTAATACCCAATAGTGCACATGCGGGGGGAAAGGGGATTGTTAGTAATGTAGAGTAATTACCCCATTGCTAGCAATGTACCATGTTAGGTTGACCTCCACGCGGTTTCCCCTGGAAACCATCGTGATAATTTCTTAGTGAATTTGTTACGATGGGCTAACTGACCTGACCTCATGCTCATCTTATCCTCCACTGGTGGCCCGCCAGCGTAATCCGTTAGTGCAGTCGGGTCCATTTCATTATCATATACAAAAAAAAAAATAGTGCACATGCATACATTTGGAAATAATGAAGGAATAGTTAGTTAAAAGGACAATAAGAAATTAAAGGAAGAATACTGTTTATAAGGTTAAAATTCGCTTACAAATATAATAGGCAGCCTCTTGAGTGGTCACCCCCGTCATATACTGCAAAGCGGGGTTGAACTGTCTCCGCTGGATGAGATCTTCCGCAGTTAAATCGAGGAAGTGCCAGTCTCGTTCCCTCCATCCCTCGTACCACTCATCGCCCGGGAATGTGAAATTGTTCTCGAGCACCGGACCCCATGGTATGAAGCCGACTTGTGGCTGCAAAACATATTGTTAGTTACTTTTGTGGTTTTATTAGCAACATTTTTTGCTAATTTAGCAACTTATTTGATATTTTGGCAACTTCAGAAATTTTTTGGCCTAATTGATTAAGTTGATTAAGTGCAGTAAGTAACTGCATATTAAGCTCACTATACTGTTTTATTTGGGTGGCAAAAAAAAGTGAGACTGTTCATTTTGCTTCAGGAAACTTCATATTGTTTATATAATAATATTGACCCATTTCACATATATCTTAAGGACTAACATATACATAAAATAAAAATAAATCCATAATATTGCCTTTGTGGTTACGACACTTAATATGGTAATCTACCACGGTAGCGCTGATAGACTCCCTTCGGCCAGTTGTCTTCTTAGTTTAGCAACATTTTTGCTTTTTAAACAATTTTAGACACTTCTTAACCTAATTGACAATGCAGTAAGCACTACATACTTACTGCACTGTCTTTTATTTGCTTGGCGGCAAAAAAAAGACAACTTGCTAAAAATGGTATTGTATTCGGTCACCACGATGGTAGTTAGTTCACTGCATATCAGTTAAGACCCAACTCTCAAAGGTATTATTTATTCCTTATTTCATTTCTTTCTTTCTATATAAAAAGACAATACGATCCGATTTGCTACGTCACATAGATGATATTATATGATAGTATTCGCATAAAGCGGTTCGAGTAGTAAATTTTAATATGCACTGCCAAAGAGAAATAGAAATTACTTCCAGCTTTCATGTTCCTGGAGAAATACAACCTCGGAGTGTATTGTGAATAGATGTTGATGTGAGGAACGCTACGTCCTAGGTCAGGCTATCATTTCCCATCGGATGAGGTAAGGCCAAGGGGAAACCCACTTATAATAAAAAAATAAGATGCTATATTTTTTTAAAAACAAATATTACCTGAAACTCTGCATTGCCGAGGTCATAAAAGCTCCTACTCTGACGGAGGCAGTTGACCAGTTTCCACGAGGAGTCTATAGGGCAGCCGAGTAACCGTCCGAAGACTAGTGAAGTGTTTTGTACACGAAATTTGTCCTCTATTAACGCCCAGTCAGCCATCGCCGAGCCACTCTGATGGGATAAAATAGTATTATCTTATTAATATTATAAACGTGAAAGTTTGTGAGCATGAATGGGTGGAAGTTTGTTATTCTTCAAGCAAAAACTACTGAACGGATTTTTATGAAACTTTACAGTAATACAGCTTATACATTAGAATAATACACAGGCTTTAATTTAAAAGGATATTATGTAAAGTGTGCGAATTACAATGATAAATAATGCAGACGAAGTTGTGCGTGTCAACTAGTCTGATATATTTTTTTATGGATGATAATGGAAGGGTGCACTCGCCTGCGCAAACGCTGGCAGAGCATCAGTAGAGGATGGTAGGTTTTATTTCCTCTTCTTTGTTAAAATCCATTCATATTTATTTGTGTAGAGGAGTAATACTCCAAACTTTCCAAAAAATCCATACTCACAAACTTTCGCATTTATAATACTACAGTTATAAGATGATTAATCATTACACTATAGTAATATTCCACTCACTTGAGCAATAACCCTAGTCACAATATCCCTGGTTTTCGGCGCGACAGCCAGCAGCCCCGCTGATGCTGCACCAGCTCCAGCACCGAAGAGTGTAATCGAAGACGGATCGCCATTGAACGGGGCGATATTATCGTACACCCATCGGAGGGCCATAGCTTGGTCGAGGAGCCCATAGTTTCCTGGCGAATTCTCATCACCCGTTGACAGAAAACCTATGAATGAACAGAGAAATTTACTTTTTTGATGGACTAAGGAGATTAGCCTGCATACCCAGTAATTACTGTAATTTTTTTATGGATGCTAATGGAATGGTGCACCCGACTGCGCTAACGGTTTATCTTGGCGGGGCACTAGTGGATGATAAGATGAGTATGAGGTCAGGTCAGTTAGCCCATCATGGTAAATGGTAAATACACCATGAGTTTATCACGATGGTTTCCAGAGGGAACCTCGTGGAGGGCAATCTAACACAAAACAAAATCTATTTACAAAACATATTTTTATTAGGTTTTATATTTTTATTAGGTTTCATTTTTAGAACGCATGTTCTTAATTAATCTATCTAGGGGGCAGTTTACCTACCCTCTTTACTCTGTATATTTTTATAAATTTTATTATAAAAACTGGCAATCATCTGAACGCATCAATAAAAAATATATGGACACTAAACAACTAAAAGGTAAATAACAGTCTTACCTAGGGCTCCGAGCCTGTAGTTTATTGAGACCACCACCACATTGTAGAAGGCTGCGAGCATGTGCCCCGGGAACAGGTTCGAGGCCCCGGACATGAATTGACCGCCGTGGATGTAGACCATCACGGGGTACTTCTGGGCGGTGGAGCCGGCCTCCGCCTGGATTAAAAAAATTATAATGTTAGGATATCATTCATCATCACTTCAGGTTACATTTATCCACTGTTGGATGTAGGATTTTCCTAAGGATTTAGTGCGTAGCGATTTCTATGTTGATTGTCGCATGCCTCCACATGGTATGATAATGTATTAGTATTTTTAGTTGTGACGTGGTCTGTTATGAGTTAGTCATGCTCACTTAAATGTCCGGAAAGGCGGTGGTATCGAGACAGATCATTGGATCATCCCTAAAATATGGTTCACTATGATAGAAACCGCGATCAACGGAAGTGAGACGTACTGAAAATACATAAAAATCGGTTGTATAATGCCCTTCCGATCGATCCCCCGTCCAATTGAAACGGGGATCGAAATTACTACGGCCGTGGTTCGAATCCCTAGCGGTGCCCTCATACTAAAGTCGCATCCGTCAGGCGGGAGTTCGCCTTCAGCCGCTCTATAAGTCCTTCCGCAGGTTTCGAGTGCCATCTGCACTCTCCCCCTATCGGCGAAGCTGTAAAGGCCAGCTATGACCAACAGTATTAGAGTAGTCCGAAAAAAAAATAAAAAATAAATATACCACTAAATTTTCTTACTTGTATGTAGCTCCTAAAGGAATGAACCAATAATGATGCGTTGTGATTTTATAAATGTTAATTTGATTAAAATAAAACTTTATTATAGAGTGATAAAGTTTATTAATACATGTCATGCATGGAAAAGCTATCGTTATGTAAATCACGTATGTATAGAGGCCATCACAATTAGGTCCGGCCATAAATATATAAAATAGTTGGAGAGCCTCGCTCGGCTGTTCTCCCAAGGGTGTTGGCGCCAGTTTACCAGATAATGACTGGAATAACAAATTGCAGGCCTTGTTAGTTGAATTATATAAACGTTTTATTGTATTAAATAACACGTGTTAATGTTTTATAGTAACAAGTTCCTTCAGAGTAGCTCCTATTGTAGAAATAGTGAGAGGAAATGGCTTGCGTTGATATGGATATATGCAAAGACGCGAAGTGGCCTATGTGGTTAAAAGTATACTTAAAATACCAAAATCGACCAGGAGTAGAGACAGGCCATCCGCTACTTAGTAGAAGAACATTTAGAAATAGATGGATCAGGACAATCTTAGTATTCAGGCCCAGGAGTTCTCAGGTCGGGTCTCACGCTCCGTAAACTGGGAACATGGGTTTTTTTATGGATGATAATGGAATGGTGCACCCGCCTGCGCTAACGGTTTACGCTAGCGGGGTACCAGTGGAGTATGATAAGATGAGCATGAGATCAGGTTAGTTAGCCCATCATGACATATTCATCAAAAATTTATCATGATGGTCTCCAGGGAGAACCGCGTGGAGGTCAACCTGACCATGGTACATTGCTAGCAATGGAGTCAACAGTCCTCATTACTAACAATCTCCTTCCCCCGGGAACATGGGTTGGACAAAGAAGAATATACTATAATAACACACGACATTTCGCTGGATATATTTTAATCCAAAGTATTTAATTTACGTGAAGCTGTAAGGATTTTAGGAGCTAGTGCCAAAAATGGATATACCACAAACTTTATAAAAGAAGGATGATTCGAACTCAATTCTAAACTTCATAAATTCCCTTCACAATCTGGACACAACTGGACTATTTTAATGTACACACGTGAAAAACATTATAAAATCCCATATTCCTATATTCGAAAAAATTAAACATGTAAGAGCTCACTGTACCATGGGAAATATATATACCTAATGACCATGCAATGAAAACAAATATTACGAACTATTAAACGAAAAAGCGAAAAATGGCCATGTGATTAATTTATATGCGGTCGAAGTGGGAGCGAGAGGTAATAAAGGTAACCAGTGAAATTTCTCTACGATCTTCTAAAAAGATCTTGGCCTGTCAAGTACTGAAGTGGGTTCTGTACTAGAACGTGTATCTAAAGCAGCATTAGTGGGCCAGACTTGGCTGGGCAGGGAGAGAAACACGGGCGGTGTAGGTGGATGACTTACGTTGGCACAGAGGCCATTTAAACCTACACCCGGGAACTGCCCTGACTGACAATTTGCCACCGACAAGGCCGCTTCCTGACATTTTGAGCAATGAGCTCACTTATCCCCATTTTTGCGATCCTTCCCCCCATATTTTTTAATGGATAATAATGGAATCGAACACCCTCGGCGGTTTATTCGATTGGCATGAAACAAATTCAAATATACATATTTATATTTTACATATTATACACATATACATGTATATATAGTAATGTACAATAAATACATATTGTTCAGTACATATATATATATAAATTTAATGAAGAACGCAAACAATATATATAAAGTACAGACAGAGTAATACGATGTAAATAAAAAAAAAATGCTGGCAGGGCATCAGAGGATGTAAAATGAGCATAGAAATAGAAATAATCTTTATTCAAATAAACTTTAACTTATTTTGACAAATACATTTTCTAATTCTACCACTCATTCGGAACGCAGACTCATTACAAAAAGACCGAGAAAGAAACTTGCGTGTTGCTCTTTAAAATAAATGTTCTGAGAGGTAAGTTATCCCAAAGTAGTAAATACACTATTCAACATATTTAATCATCTGTAATCGGGTCGAGTAGGTAATAATAGTTACAATTAAACTTGCAATCTCAATCAAGCAATGATTGCACAGGTCACTAGCCTGCAACGATTCATTAGTCAGCGTCATAATGGGTTTAATTGGCGGAATTCGTCATAGGCCGCTTGCATTTTGGCTAAAATGACATTTGTTGCTCAGATACTAAAGTCAAAAGTCAAATATGTTTTCTATATTCGACCTTATGGGGTTATCTATAGAATCTACATTGTGCACTGGCGAAGCTTCAATGGGAACGTGCTGGCCGGTGTAGCAACTATGTTATCGAGTAATTGGTGCGGGTTGATTGAGGTCTCGTTAATTATTAACAAAGACAAAGCCTGGTTGTTATTCAGATGGTTAAATATTCAAAATAGATGGAATATGTAGTACTTATAATGGTAAAACTGTTATTATATATTATACATACAGCTGAGGAATGAATTTAGAATTAAAGTCAATAATTTTTTTTTATATTAATTTTAAAGTTCTAAGGAATCTCAATATTCACAGACTATTAAAAGTATTATTCTACTTTTACTATTATATAAACTATAGGCTACTTATAATTTAGAAATTTTATTTATTTTAACAAAAAAAAAGAAAAGTCTATGCAAATGATGTCGCGGGTCACAGCTAGTAATTAATAAAAATAATGGTAAATATCCCGTTTATATAATGTGAGGTTTTAAACAACCATGAAAAACAGTTTAAAATCGAGTACTCATAATGAGTACTCGAATTTAAATTGTTTTTAAAAAAAAAATTCAAATCGAGTAATCATTATATGATTAAGCGAATCAAAAACTTTCGGAAAAAGGGGTCCTTTTACGAAAATTACGCGGACGAACGGTAATTTAAGACATTTCACACATTTATAGCTACTAGCTGTCCCGGCAAACATTGTTTTGCGTTAAAATAAAGAAAAAAAAATTTAGGGGTGGACTACCCCTAACATTTAGGGGGATGAAAAATAGATGTTGGCCGATTCTCAGAGCTACTCAATACGCTCACAAAATTTCATGAGAATCGGTCAAGCCGTTTCGGAGGAGTATGGGAACGAAAACTGTGACACGAGAATTTTATATATAAGATATAGATGAGTATAGAAAACTATTTTTTCATATTTATGCGAAATTAAAAAAAAACTATACATTACCAGAATAAAAAAAACCAAAAAATACCAAAACCATATATTTGACAGCCACACGTATACGTAGAAGACGTATACGTGTGGGTGTCAAATATATGGTAGTGTATGTGTATTTTTTTTTATTCTGGTAATGTATAGTTTTTTTTCGTTGTTCCTTGACAATAGAACCGTATAATGTTCAAACTTACGAGTTTCCACGAACGTGCGATATTAATATATACAGTAAAATATAATATTGGTCTATAATTTAAATATGATAAAGAAAGAATGGTATGGCCATACAATATATATACATATATATATGTACGTTTCTTCTTTTTATATACTCTGTTCTTTTGAAATTTATACTGTGTTGTAATATGTGTGTGTATCTATTGATGTAAATAATGTAAATATCTATCTATCTATAACTTACATTGGGCGAGAATATGTTCAAGTATAGACAATCCTCATCCATGTCCCGGACGCCCTTTGTGGCCCCTGTATAGCGCACGGGCTGGGGACATGCCGGGCCATAGTCCACCGCTTGTATTAACTGCCAACCGGGGTGCTGCCGTGGGGGCTAGAACAAAGATTATCATATTAGTATGACATATATCAGCTATGGCACAGAGGTCAATCGTAGAAGCCAACTCGGATGGGCAGCGTTCGGGAAACTCTGATATATCTTTCGTCCAAATTACCCCAGTATCTCAAGACGAAGATTTACGACTAATGTGTGTTCTCAGTGATGACTTACGACAGAGAGAAGTGGTCGCTAACTATTGGCTTCATGGATAAGCTCAGAGTCACGTAAAGAGCAATGGAGAGTGCTATGGTTGGAGTTTATCTGCGTGAATGAATCAGAAATGAGAAGATCCGCGAACCAGAGTGACCGACATAGCCCGAAGAATTGCGAAACTGAAGTGGTCGTTTGATCGTCGTGGGGATGCCTTTGTTCAGCAGTGGACGTATAGTGTTCTTCTGTACCCTTCTAGTGGATGAAGATTGGGGTCTCGGGGTGAGCCCCTTTGCCCCGGCATCGACTCCGGGGGCAATAATACCCGGGTAATTCTGTTAATAACCTCTTGGGGCGGGTTTCTAAAACTAACTTAAATTCTAAAATCTAACCTAGAGTTTCAATATATTTATATATATAATATATACATATATATGTTTAAATTAACTTATTCTAACTTAAGAGGCAATACCATACTTGGAGGTGCGGTTTTTTTTTATTACAACTATTCATTTATTGGTATATATTATAAAATCTCTATTACAGTATCAAAAACAGTAGACCTATGTGGTCAGGTGGTCATGCTTTGCTGCATGTCATTGACACACTAACATGTTTTTTTTTACTACACAAAATAATATATTCTTTCTTCTCACTTATAAAACACAGGATGTTGCGAGGCAACCTTTTTGATACTGTTTTACATCGGATGGTCACGGGTACGATTCCTCGCACGGTACTTTTTTATGTAATTTAATATGTGTATTTAGTAGAACAGAGTCTTTATTGTTTTTTTATAACGTGGCATTAAAAATACATACAATCCTAAATTTCACCCTCCTACCATCAACATTTTTTAATAGCGATTTTAATTTATATTGCAAAATGTTTGTCATAAAACCATGAGGTTTATATTCATACATGACCAGTTATCATGATTACAATATTGTTAGATTATTGCTTGTAGGACATAAACATACCTTGAATCTTCCTTCTAACACAGGAGGCCGTGCATAAGGTATCCCAAGAAATACTGATACTTCGCCCTGTATCCTCTCCACTGCTGATAACCATGGTCGATAACCAGAATCTGGGTCAGGATTATCATATAAATATACCTGTTAGGAAAATAAAAGTAAAATAAATTACGAAATCTTAATAAAATAGATTAGAAAATATATTCTATATTCATTGCGGCTAAGGAAATTCATTCACTGGTGAAGTGATGTAGTTATTAAATTCAATGGGTGCAATGGGACTGGCATGTTTTTTTAGTTTCTGCAATAGTCTCTAAATTTCAAATAAATGAAAAAACTAATTCTTTATTCAAATAGGTAAACTTAAATTTTAGCACTGTATAGTCATACTTATTTTTTTTAAAGACGAAGAAGTAAAAAACATGTTTTTTACTCTTTTAAATAAAAAACACCATTTATAGATCACCCTATTTCTTATAGAAGGTAATGAATACAAATAAACTTAAATTTCAGCTCTTCTGAATATTCCATTTCCTTGAGCATCATTTTGTATTATGTCTAATCAATTACTGCAAATACTTACTTTAAATCCCTGCACTTGACCAAAATTTGTAGTAACAAATATATTTTTGTTCAACAACCGTGAGTCCCTCCGCTCTCTACCCTGGAGGTCCTCTCTCCATCCTCCCAACACTCCTGGGAATAGTGCGTCGGGATTGTTTGGATCTCGATTCTGAAACAAACACAATTTATTGAGAATATAATAGAAATAATATTATAAATGCGAAAGTTTGTGAGTATGGTTGGATGCTTGTTTTCGTTATTTATGTTTTGTTTGAACTATGACTGATTATTATGTTTGAACTCTTTCACGCAAAAACTACTGAACGAATTTTGATGAAACCTTACAGTAATATAGCTTATACATCAGAATAACATATAGGCTATAAATTTCACGCAGATGAAAATGCGGGCACCGCTAGTAAATAAATACTTACAGCAAAGTCCTAATTGCTATGCATATAGTGTATACATATTGTGATTAGTACAATATATATTTATTTAAAACAACCTATATTGAAAAGAGCAGCAAATTTCTTGTTCATTCTTCTTGTGACGAGTCTCCTTTTTATTTTTACTTGGAGAATATCCCTCATGGAGACCCGCCGGCCCCGGGGGAAATGACAAGTCTCCTGTCCTAACCTTAACCTAACCCTATTGCTAGCAATGTACCATGTCTGGTCGACTTCCATGCGGTTCCCATGCCCCCTAGAAACCATCATTATATCTTCTATGAATTTGCCATGATGTGCTAACCGACCTGACCTCATGCTCATATAATCATACTCCACTAGTGCCGCACCAATGTAGACCGTTAGCGCAGGCACCATTCCATTATCAACATTTAAAAAAACAATAAGTAGGCTTCTGAAAAGTGCCTATATAATTTGAATAAAGATAATTTCTAATTCTTTATACATTACGTCACCAACAGGAAGTAACTAATTAAATAAACACTAATTATAAAAGATAATTAATTTAATTAAATCTAGTGTGCTGTACTAATATCATAACGAGAAATGCTCTGGTGTATTGTATGACTGTATTTATTAAATACTTGATTGATTTTGAAAAGACTTTCAGGCTTTGAAAGGTCTGAAATATACTTACCTTTCAAAACAACCATTCTAAAGTCATATAAGCTACAATGTAATTGAGCATATGTATATGCTATAATAATTTATATATAAAATTCACAAATATATGAGTTCCTAGTCGAAGCTAGGGAGGGCCACAAGTTTTTAATATATTTTAATGCAACAAGATATATAAAATTATATAACAAAATTATTATCTTTCTGTCTGCTTATAAAAATGTGTAATGTAACTCTTAAGGGATGTGGACTAAAAAAGCGTTGTAAGGGATTGATAGGGCAGAAGAAAGATTTTATGGAAGTGTCATCATTTTTTTAAAGCTAAAATGTCCTACATGAATAAATGATTTTTGAATTTGAATTTAAAGCTAGAAGCTTATGTCTTAGGCTGTTGATTAAATATAAATGGACATTCACAAACTTTTTCTTTAGTCTTTTTGGGTTTAATTTTTAAATATTTTTCTTTATTTAGTAAATGTCACTATTCCACACCGACAAAGTTGCAGATACAGCTAGTATTACATACTTCTTGCACTTGGGTAGATTTATAAGGTTTTTATATAAGACTGGTATAATATGTGATGGCTTATAGAGCATTGTGCATATTTCAAATGTTATTGGAACATACAGTGTACTATTAATGCTCTACCATTCTCCAGAATTAAGGTGTAGTACAGTCAAGTCAAAATTACAGGCCACAGACTGCATCCAATATAATTAAATAAATAAAATGTTATTATAATACACCAAAGCACATGTACACATTCTAAATTTAAAATATGGCCCTCTGTAAAATTGAGTTTGACATCTCTGTTATACCATCACATACTGTAATTTTACTATTATATATTACTTTTAAGATCAGAACACATATTGCAAGCAAGCAACTAACGATAGAGTTAGGTTAGACAAACGTTACTGTGTATTCTCTATATCTATACATATAACCTTCCAGTAACATGTTGGTCAGATTTAAAAAGAACTATACCAGTAATTGCTATATACCCCGTTCCATTAATATGTATAACACAAAGTTTGTTGAATTGGATCTGTTTGTTGCACCTTAGTTACATACAGAAAGAAACTTTTCAAAATACTAAAGTAACCCCTTTTTATTTTTATTTTTCTTAATATAATGTTTGTACTGTAATATTCTTATTTCTTTTTTCTTATTCATTTTCTTTGTATTTGTATTGTTTTGTTTTTATTTTAGTCCACTAGGCTCACTAAAAATAAAATTAAGTAAAAAATTTTCGGCACTCAATGTCTATTGTAAAAATTACTTTTATTTGTATAGTTATATGTTTTTATAACAAATGTTTATTGCCAAAATGAAGAGAAAAAAAATATAAATAAAATTGGAGTGTTTGTAATATTGAAATAACTGTTTTTTACTACATGCAGATGAATATAAATACATACACCAAAATAACATTCTTTTCCAATTTTTGTCTGTTTATTCCGGCTAATCTCTGAAATGGCTGGACCCATTTTGATGGGACTTTTTTTGGCAGGTAGCTGATGTAATAAAGAGTAACTTTAAAGTTAAATTCCTTCTTTCACAGACAAAGTTGCAGGAACAGCTAGTTTCTATCATTAAGACTACTTTATACACTATATAGCTCCACCGACAAGAGCGTCGCTCTTAAATTATGAATGAAATAAGCACCATATACTTACAATATTATACTTAAACTGTTCATCCAAAGGGTTTGTTTCTAATGGATTGTAAGGAAAGCCTCCTGGCTGATTTATATTAGGGTTGTAAGGGTTGTACCGCGTCGGATTCACCCCGTATCTCCTATTATTGTACACATATGTCCTATAACCACTATCCCCCGGGCTAGGAATATCAGTCACGCGGGATACCTGTTCTCCAGAGTTGTAAAATTCGTTGTTTATCTCACCATTATAAAGGTCTTTATTTGACTGACTTTGAACACTTGCGCACAGTAAAACTGTTAAAAAACTGTTCCTCAACATTTTCACATCACAATAGACTTCCCAGTTTCTTACTGAAGCGATTAATACTAATGAATCATAGGCTTACACTCATATGGTGTTTGTCTTTCTTACGACATTATTGTAATAAATTTCACCATTCTCATGACTTAAAATATGATTATCAATATTAAAAGAATGTTTCTGTTGTTTAAGAAATACTACACTCATTTATTTACTATAAATTTCATGTAATTTATTGTGTTAACAATACTACACTGTATCAACGGTATGAATTGTAACAATGAACTACATTTTTTATCTGTAGAGCCTTATTCCTTATCTTGTACATTATCGCGGTATTTGGAAGGGTTTATCTATTAAAATCAATGAATTATCAGTAAAATAAACGGTTCGGCAACGCCCTCGTAGATATAACAGTTTTGTTTACCATTTTAATTGCCTTTCATTCATTTCATTCTGATAACCTGTTAATCTGTAGCGTCAATCTAACTTCAGTTTGTCAGTATTATAGTCAACCATAAAATGAATGACAATTGAAATTGGCAATAGTGATTACTTGCTCAATGGTTGATACAGACAGTATCAACAGAACTCAGAACAAAAAAAAGCATAATTTTGACTACAAAATAATTTAACTTTGGAACGATATTGAAGACAACGGTTGTATGGGCTTTAGAGCTTGTACTCTTTGCCTTTCCTACAAGCATAAAGGAAACAAAAAAATTGAGAATCTTACGAAAATATATGTATGTTGCTAAAAAATTACATACTAAAACCAGTTTTTTTATTCTATTAAATATTAAAGGTTTATTCCTGAGAATATGCCACCCCAATCGGTGCAATACGTAATATTTAAATTATGATACATTTCTTTCTTCAATGCCAACTGTGAATATATTAATAGTTTTGATGGCCTATTCAGTTAATGGGTTATTGAGAATATTATTGCAGAGACCGATGCCGTTTCGAATAGAATGTATCAATTCGCATCTTTTGGTCCCGTTCCGTACACGTTCCATAATATATTATAGACATCTACAACTTTTCTACGTACCGTACAATTTGGAGTTAGGTATAGATTTTCTCATTAAAAATTCAATATTTTTTAAAGCAGGTATTTACTATTTAAAACATGTTAAAGTGGAAATGTTGTTTTAACTAACAAATAAAAACAGACAGGTTTTCATAACTATATCTACGTATGTTATGATGTTCTTACTTATTCAATTATAACTACTTATATTTTAATAAATCGCTAACTTATTTTCATTGGGGTGAGTAATTGTGATAATGTTTCTAACGGAATTTATTAATTATTTAATGACGTCATGAAAATAATCATGTACTAAAATAATTAAAGCTCTAAAAACGTTTTTATTATTCTTTTGAACTATTATATTCATAAATCCGCTGCTTGGGTTCTTGTGTTAGATTCTACTTACATATTTCGATCGACCCATCATGTAACATGCTTGATGATATGAACGCAGCCAACAACAAATATGGCGGGAATATAAATACAAAATGGTACATGTTGAAAATTGGAACAATTTTAGTCCCTGATAGGGCTTTTTGTCGCGGTACGAGTCACGACACAGAGTACTGAAATCAGGACAGTCTGCAATCCTATTTACTATGACAAGCAACATGATGAGTTATGCACGTTATGTTGTTCCTGTTACGGGTTAAGGTTGCTACTTACCATCAGATGGACCTATAGCTTGTCTGCCATTTTAAAAAACCCATATAGATGTTCATTTTTAGAGTATTAGTTAGAATACCTACTCGGGTAGGTCCAGGTCCTTACTTAATCTATGAACTAGCCAGAAACTAACCTTCTTACACGCGAATTTGTAAATACCTACCTTTTTTCTTTTTAATGACTTGGCACGTGGGTGTATTTGCCAAACTCAAAGTTAATATCTACTTTATTTACCACTTCACATGCACACATTTCACTGAGTCAGTGTGTATCCCCCGTAATTAATACTCACTTACAGAGAACCTTGCCACTGAATAAATTAATTTGTTTACTTTTTCCAAAGGCAATTGAAATGTATTCAGATTTCAGTTACCGAACGAGCTTTTGTTGTCGTATAAAACACAACGTTTGTCTATTTTGCTTCGTTATTTGCTTGACCCAATTAACTTTATTTGCATTTCCATTACAAAGGGTTACAACAAGCGCGGGCGTACACGCCGGCAGTTACAAGAATATTATGACAACAATTACAAAATTAAAATGTGTTACTAGATCACCTAAAAATTTGTATTATGATTTTGAGAGTTTTAAAGAATTGCCAATTTGTACGGTCGTACAGTTTCCGTGTTCAATTAACTAAGTGCATGTCATTCCCGCCTAAAGTCCAGTCGGCGGCCATTAGTTTCGAAAGCGCAAGAAACAAGCCCATACAGCTATACGCGACCTCACCGCTGCTCCATCTCTTTAATTACTCCCGAGCGATTAACATTATGGATTGCTTGGGTCAGAATACCTTCTACAGATTTAGTAACACACCGCTGAGGGAAAATAAATAATTTGTATTACACATGCAGCATCCTTTTGGTATATAATTTACTACCGAATTACTGCTTTTCAATTATTGACTGTATGATATAAATTGGTTTATAAACAACATTTTTATAATTAAGACTCTATCTAGCCTTCAACATAAACTTTTCTTTGTAACTGGCAAAAAAGTTGAGAGCACATCTGGTGGTAAATATCAATTCTTGGCTATAAACATGAGCATCAGACATATGACGTCAACATAACTCAACATATAACACCCTAAGAATAAAAACATACCTTACCTTACCGACCACAACATACAAAGCAGTAACTTTGTTGCTTGTTTAAATGGTATCTACGCAAACGGATTTGTGCAAAGCCTAGCTCTGTTAAATCCGTTCTTTGAAGAATGTATTCCAACCTTGTGATGGAAAAAGAATTGCAAAAGAAGATTAAGGCATCAGAGCATACGCGTCGGTGCTAGGGAAAGAGCACTTTGTATACAGTGCTAGACTATCTGGTTATCATAATCAATTAATATCAAAAATCATTTATTCATGTAGGATATTTTAGCCACATATGAACGTAATTTTTAATTATTGATTATATTTTCTTCCCTACCGTCCAGTTCAGTATACAGATTGAGAAGAACTGGCAAAAAATACAACTGAACTTCTTTTTTTTTTTAATTGTTCGAAGTGTATGTATGTGTATATGTATCAATATATGAACCAAATTTGACAGGTTTGTGTGATAGAGTTTTTGAGTTATGAGGGGGTATATGTAAATATACACACGGTGCTGTGTGCCGCGTGTCTAGATATATGTATATGAGTGTGTGTGCATATGTATATATATATGTAAAATGCACCTTTGTCAAATGTGTAAATGTAATAATGGTTGTCAATAAATGTTTTTCTTTCTTTCTTTTTTCTTTTTTTTATTGTTTTGAAAGACAGTTTATTTACCTTGTGTACTTATATAGGGTATCTATGTCTAAAATGAAAATCCTGTGTATAAACAATTATTGCCATGCACGCTCGTCATTTAAGCAATCGTTTAGTGAGTAATATATCGTTTATGAGTAATAGGCTTTGCTGAGTAAATATGATTTAAGAAATATTTTGAATTTACTTAATGGTAATTCTAGTATATCCTTTGGTATCTTATTTTAAATTTTTATACCTATTCCCATAAAAGAACCGCTGACTTTTTATTAACCGATACTTAGAAACAGCAAGTATGTCGTGGTAATAACATGCTAAAACTCATTGAGTTTGGAAGAGCCACAAAGTTCGTATAAAACTTTATGAAATCTAGGCCAGGTGTCTTACATTTTGCAACCAATTCTAACTATTAAAATATGTCCAGCTGTAACATGGGGTGGGGGTGAAATGACCGTAAATGGTGTGGCGTAATTTATAGATGGATGGCTCTTTATGTAGAAACCAGTGCCTAGAATGGAACAATAATGGATTGTTAAGACGATAGCTTATGAATAACATCTGTAGGTAGCTGAATTATTAGAGCTTGTAAGCATGCTAGCATTACGTAAGTGAATCTGCAGATTGGTATGCATGCTATGCGGGGCAGGACGACAATTTGAAATTGAAGGCATGCTTCAGACAGATTGGAATCGAACATTGTTTGGGTGAATTTAGCATTAGCCACAGATATGCAACAATTAGAGTTGCCTGCGTCAATATTTTTTTTAATTGATCATGGAATGGCGCACCCGATTGCGTTATCGATTTATGCTGGCGGAGCTCCAGTGGAGGATGATGAGATGAGCATAAGGTCAGGTCAGTTAGCCCATCGTGGTGAATTCACCAGGAACTTATAACAATGGTTTCTGGAGGGAACAACATGGAGGTTAACCTGACATGGTACATGGCTAGCGACGGGTTCATTAACTCCCATTACTAACAATCTCATTCCCCCAATATTAATTATAATTATAATATTACAATAATTGGAAATATAACTTTGTAAAGAACATATTATAGGCATATTAACAAACAATCAAAAAACTGCACCCGATCAATAGTATTAGGGATGAACGGGTGCTGTTTGTAAGGACTTAGAAGCATGTAAGATTGTTGTAGATGAAGAAATATTAAGAAAAAATGAGGTACATTGAAGAAGTTGCTATTTCAAAGCAACAGGCGTATCAGATTTGCTAATACGCCTGTTGCTTTGAAATAGCAACTTCTGGCATTTACTTGTTTCCGTGTTCAATAAGGCTTGCCGGATCATCGTTTGCCATTGCAATCCATTGCAATTGCAATAAACATAATTTGTGCTAATACAAATATTGTATTTTTTAGCATCCTTGAATCCTCTATTCACGTCTATTTATCTGTCTCGACTCTGAAATGTCAGAATACATTAATATTTGATTGTCAGAGATCTTCAAATATAGTCAGACACTCAGAACAATAAGTTAGACATCCAAAAGTCTTTGTCGGTGCGATCTCAGAATATTAATATATTTCTAAGGGTGTGATATTTTACTAACGTAGATACTAATACAGTTAAGAGGTAAAGGAGAGAGAGAGCGATACAAAGACAAGTAAAGAAAAGTCAGAGAACAAAGAAAATACACAAATACAGACAATAGCTGCTTTTACACGTACGCTCTTTCACGCAGAAAAGAATGTTCATGTACATGAAGACAAAGAGAACGAGAAACATCAATCGTGCATGGTTTAGCGCCTTTTTGTAATAATTAATTAATATTGCAAAATGGCGGGAATCCAATTATGGAGCAAAGACATAATTATAGAGTTATTAATAATTTATAAATCTTAAAAGCATCTTTGAAAATAAAAGCTGTGGACTAAAAAATATAAAGTTAAAAGTGAAATGACATGACACAAACGCGCTATTACGCGCAAAATAGTCAG